GGCCCTCGGCAGTCCCGCGCCGTTTGCGCGGGCCTGCGGCCTGCCGAGAATTTGTGGCATGACCACGCGGGGGCTGGCGCCCGCTCGAAGAGTAAAAAAAAAAATGCCCTCACCGTGCCTTCAAGACTCCTCAGGACTGAGGACTGAGGCTCGAAGGATTCGGCCAAGGGCCCGAGGGCACTCCAACTCGTGTCTCAGGGCACGGTGGCGGGTATGAAGGAGATGTGCTTTCAGGTCCTTGCTGTGGCGGGGGCTTCAGAGTGGGGTGGCTCATGGCCATGGCTGGGCGCAACTCGAGCAGCTGACCAGGACGGTGCCCAGGATTGGGCAAGGGTACCGATCCTGAGCGGAAGCAGACGCTGGTCTGATCCCAGGCCCGTATGCGTCGCGAAGCGCAGAGGGCGGTGCTGGGGCAGTGCGTCTGGCCTTTCTGCGTGCTGGAGCGGTGCGTGCGTGCCCTTGTGCATGTGCACTCGTCAGTCGTCAGTTTGGCCTAGAAGAGCCCCGCAAGGCACGAAACGTCAGCCCGATACTGACCCTCCAGCTGTCTCCCCTTCTGTCCCTTCCCGCCTGCTCGCCCGCCTGCGTCGTCCCGCTGGCTCTGGCCTCCCGCCTGGGCGTTTGCCGCAGTCTGCTTTCTCGTCCCTTTTCTCCCCTCCCGCCGCCGCGCAGCACGGGCTTCCAGGACCCGGCGGCCGCACGGACGCACGCGCAGGCCGTCTCGTAGGCCGTCTACTGCCGCACCGCACGCCCAGGCCACCCACCAGCGAGCGAAGCACAAGACGGCAGTGCCCCCTGCAGGGACAGTGCTACCATCAGCGACCTGTGCGCGACCAGGGGTCGCCCCCGCCCGCTGCGGCGCCGTGGACGCCGTCAGCAGGCGCTTGGGCCCGACAGGCCGCGCACCCGGCAGCCCAAATCGGACGGGGCTAGGACAAGGATAAATCCGTTCCAGGGCATTCCGGAGCGCTCTCAGCGCGTCCCCGAACGCTCTGAGAAGGCCGCGGCGCCCGATACATCTTCCAGAGCCGCCGGATCTCAGAGATCATCGATCCGTCCTCACCCGATGTCATCCTCGTCCTGGCTTCGTCTCCTCCTCCTCCTCCCCCGCCCCCGCCCCCTCCTCCTCCTCCTCCTCCTCCTCTTCCTCCTCCTCCTCCTCCTCATGGGGCCCGACGGGCCGCGCTCCAGGCAGCCCAAAGATCGAGTGGGCCGAGAGCGGGACGGAAACGGGGGAGGATCTGACATCCACCGTGGGACCGCGCGGCAAGCCTCCTCGTGGGTCTACCGCCAAAAAGTTGTGAGGCACGCAAGAGGCAGGCGCGCCCCTACCTGTGTGAGAACCTCGAGGCGAGGCGGCCTGACTCCTTGGGGGTCGGAAGCGGAGGAGGAGGAGGAGGAGGAGGAGGAGGAGGAGGAGGAGGGGACCAGTGTAAACCCAAGAGTCATCAACGATGTTGGAATAAACCCTCCCGCCAAGCTCCCTCTTCATAGGCCCCTACAACGGTTCATTTCCATTGAAAATACGGCCTCGTTGGAAGACAACCGTTTGAAGACCCTGAAGCGTGCCAAAACGTTGCTCACGGGATTCCAACGCAAAGGATCAACCTGACTGTTGCGTCTACGGTCCTGAATCGTGCCAGAACGCCGTTCTAGGGACTTCAACACCGCGAATCAGCGAAACTGTTACAGCCGCATAATCCTGAACCCTTTCAACAAACAAGTCCTGGTACGCTGATCATGGAAATCCGTGAACGTCTTGCAAATATTACAAACTAGCGTGCGCGGCGCTATGGCGAGAGCCACATTTTGAAAAGGAGCTGCCCTCATTCCGTCAAGCTTTTGAAAGTGTTAGGACGCATGTGCGCGGCGCTAAGGCGAGAGTCACACTTTCAAAAGGAACCGCCCTCAATCCGTAAAACTCTTAAAACGAATGCGCGCGGCGCTATGGGGAGAGCCACATTTTGGAAACGGATCGCTCTCTATCCGTGAAGATCTTGCACATGTGTAACACGAATGTGCGCGGCGCTAAGGCGAGAGCCACATTTTGAAAACGACCCCGCCCTCCATGTGTGGAACTGTTGCCATATGGAAAGCTTCAGAGTCAGAAGTGGTGAGGAAGTCTCAGGCGAAACGCCCGGCCCGCCCTAAAAATTGGAGGAGGAGGAGGAGGAGGAGGAGGAGGAGGAGGAGGGGGAGTAGGAGCACGAGGAGGAGGAGGAGGAGGAGGAGGAGGAGGAGGTGGAGGAGGAGGGTGCGGAGGAGGAGGAGGGGGTGTTGGAGGAGGAGGAGGAGGAAGGGGAGGAGGAATGCGAGAGAAAGGCGCCGCGCCCAAGCGGGAACGTACCCTTGGGGGAGAACCTGAGAACAGGGCATCCTCATCTTCCTCCTTCCTCCTCCTCCTCCTCCTCCTCCTCCTCCTCCTCCTCCTCCTCCTCCTCCTCCTTCTCTTCCTCTCAGACGGGATGTGGCCCTCGCCCCCACCCCTTCTCCTCCTCCCCAGCAGCAGAGCAGCGCTGGGGAATGGGGACGGGGGCTGTAAACGAGGGCAACACCACAGCCCAAAGGGGGGCTTCCCCAGGGAGAAGGGAGACTGACGGCCGGTGACGACAGGAGAGGACACAGCAACAGGAGGAGGAGGAGGAGCGAGAGAGGCGAGGAGGAGAAGGAGGGCAGCATGGACGACAAGGAAGACCCGGCGAGAGGAGGGGGATGTCCCGTCAACCAAGTGAACCCCGCATGCGCCCCCCCCCCCCCCCCCGGATAGTGGGGGGCACATTCCTAACGGGATGCGGACCTGGACAGGTCACACGATGGCGGACAGTAAGGCGGGGGGCGCTGGAAAAGGTTACAGGAGAGCTGGAACCATATTGTGACAATGCTGTGCCCATCGCCTCGCCTTGCTCCTCCGCCACCGACTCCCATTTCTCTCTTCCCTCTCTGACTGCCCCCCCTGCCGTTCCGGGGACGCGGGGGGGCTAATGGCTGGAAGCAATATCTGAATAGTTGTGGCCCCTCCAGCCCTCTTCCTTCAACATAACCCTTCACGTCTCACCCCAAGGCCAGTCGAAAGGGCGGGCGGGCGTTTCGCTTGAGACTTCCTCACCAATTATGGTTCTGCAGCTTACAAGTTGCAGCCGTTTCACGAATGGAGGGCGGGCCGCTTTCAAAATGTGGCTCTCGCCTTAGCGCCGCGCACATTCGCTTCAAACAATTTCGAGAGCTTCACGGATGAAGGGCGGGTCGTTTTCAAAGTGTGGCTCTCGCCTTCGCGCCATGCATATGCGTTGTAAAAGCTCGCAGCGGATTCACGGATGGAGGGCGGTCTGCTTTCAAAATGTGGTTCTCGCTTCAGCGCCGCGCAAATTTGCGTCAAAATTCAAGAGTCTGTAGCAGTCTCAAGGATTTTCATCGCTAACGTCTTTGGATTGGTGTGTTGTCACGATGTCGGATTGTTAGGGCGCAGCAGTCATATTGATTCGCGGTGTTGACGTCCCAGGAGTGGCTTCTGGCACGATTCAGAATCTTCAAGAAGCAGCAGTTTCGGTGAGTCGCGGCGTTGAAATCCCAGGAATGGTGTTCTGGCACAGTTCCAGATTTTCAAACGTCTGTGTTCCCGCGGGGTACTTCCTCAGTGAAAATGCTTCCTTCTAGAGGCCTATGATGAGGGAACTTGGAGGGAGGGTTTGTTGCGAGATCGTTGGTGAGTCTTGGGTTTGCACTTCTCCTCCTCCTCCTCCCCCTCCTCCTTCTTCTCCGTCTCCTCATCCTCCTCCTCCTCCTTCCTTGCGCATGTGCCATAGTTCGAGCGCACATACACGCCACCTGTGGGTTCAAGCTGGTGAAAATCGGCCCGAGCTTTGGATCGCTCACGTGCTTCATTGTGCTGTGGACACAGCATAAACGGTAAGCACTGCCCATTGTAATTATACTTGCTGTTCGGTGCCCGGAGGTGGACCCGTGGGGATGATGATTGGAACGGTGTCAATCAAACATCTTCTTGTAAACGTATCCGCCTGAAAAGAGTGCGAAGACATCTGAACGCACCCGCCTGGAGAAAGTGCGAAGACCAGCTTGCAAGGGGCAGCAAGAGAAGAGACAGAGAAAAGAGGGAGGGAGGAAGGGGAGGGGAGGAGGGAGGAGGAGGACGGAGCAGGGTGGGGATGGAGAAGGAGGAGAAGAAGAGGGGGAACACCGGGGAAGGGGAGGAAGAGGAGGATGAGGCGGAGGCGCGGCGTGGCGCGGTTTGGGCCCCACCCAGCCCCGGCCGGCCATCCCCCTCCCCCGCCCCGCCCCATGCGGCCGGCCCTCGGAGGCTCTGCCTCCCCCCCCCGGCTCAGCCCGAGGCCGCCGCCGCCCGAGAGGCCCCTCCCGCGCACGCGGAGGCCGAGGCCGCCGCCTGCGGCTCGCCACGAGAGGCGTGCCAGAGCGCTGCCGCCCTCTCCCGGCCCTGACGCCCTCGCGCCTCGCAGTGGAGCCTACGGGCGGGGGAATGGGGGCCTCCCGGGGCCCTGGCTCTGGCGGGGCCCTGGAGGCCGTCAAAGCACGCGGCCCAGGACGCGAAAGGCGGGCCCTGGGGATGGGGCCCGTGCCAACGGCAACAGACACGACGTCGGATACTTTTGGCGGAGGTTGCGCTTTTGCGTCTACCTGCTCTTGCGTGAGCGTTCCGACCCTGTCCGCGTGCACCTGCTTCGGCGATCCTTCCTTTACATGCGACTGCCCCCCTCCAGCCATCTGCCACGCCAGCTGGTAAGCCGCCTCAGCTTGTCCCGGCGTGGCGCATCGCGACGGTGCCGTCACTCCGCCGCTGGAGGAGAACTGCCCGGGCGGAGGGGAGGCGCGGCGCCGCAGCAGCGCCCTGGCCGCGCGCGGGGCCCCCCCTCGGCCGCGGGGCCCTGGAGCGAGCCCTCGGAGCCCGGCAGTTCACCGACGACCTCCGTCGTGATTGTTGCTCCACGACGAGGCGGAGGAGTTGGACTGGACTGCGGGGGGGGGCCATGGGCCCTCAGGCCCCCTCCCAGAACGGCCGCGATGTGATTCCCCCATCGGCACCCGCCCCCACGCACCGCGCGGATGCCGCAGGAGAACGTCACCTTGAAGGAGGAGCTCCAGGACGTGGCCACCCTCGTCGCAGCCGTCGCGCAGATCCGGGCGTTACGATAGAAAAAACAACCGCTTTTGTTCCCCCAATTCGGACTTCTGGTCCCTCGCAGATGGGTCCGACTCGAGAGGCAAGGCTGAAATACTGTTTCGAGGGCTACGTTCGTGATGTTTCACGGCGCTGTGTGTTTGTGACGATGTCGGATCTCGGGAATTCCCCTTCGCTGGTACTCGTCGTCGCCAGTGCTGCTGCTGTCGTCGTCCCTGCAGTCCTGTCCGCGCTCAGCAGTGCCTGTTTCGGCCCTGTGCGTGCCGTTCTACAGCCCAGGCCACAGTGAAGGTATTCATCTCCTGTGAGATGCCTCAAACGGGAATTCCGGAACCTTGAGGTCCAAGAACCATCTCAAAACATATTTCTGACACGACGATGTGCACCAAGATTGTTCTCCTTGCACGACGTTGTTCCCAGATTTGGTCAGGGCCTCCCTCAGGGCAAATGGACAATAGCCTCGCCTTTGCCAACCGGATCCGCAAGAGCCTTGACAAGGGAGCTGCTTTATCGCAACGGTATTGCACGCGAACCCGCACGCGTGCACATATGTCCGGCATTCGTGAGCAGATTATTTGATAACACGCATGCGCACGAGTATTTCGTTCATCGTATCTGGCACGTGCAGATGTGTCTGGTGATGCTGCCACGCTCTTCCGCTGCCGCGCATGGTCTAGCGAGTGCCCGAGTGAACGTGCGCGCTTGCGAATGCCGCACGTGCCCTCGCAGCCTTCTGAAACTCACGCTCCCCTTGTTGGCACACTCACTCTTCTCGCGGGCGCACTGGACTCCATGAAATCAGTTGTGCGTTCTCTTGCATGCACGTCCCCAGCGCGCTTTAGCCCTTGCCAGTGATTTGGCGGATTATTTGGCGCAGTGCACGTCCTCGCTCCCAGTTCTCTAAAGGGGGCGGGTGATTCCTCATGCCCTCTTAATGTACACTCAGACGTTGATAGGTTTAAAACGCGTTCGACCAACATGACCTGAAACACTCGGCTACGATGGGGGCAGAGGTCGTTTGGGCGTTCTATTTCGTCACGACGTTGTACCCCTGTGTTTTTGTTGGCGGCGGTCGTTGCAGCTGTTGTTAATGTTTTCTGTAGGGCAAGATATTGTTTATTGCAGTCGCACTCTTCGCAAATACTGGGGCCGCGTGTCGAGCAGCGCAGTCGGTTTCGTCACCAGTCGGACGCATTGACGACCTGCCACCGATGTACGGCGCATGTTGAGAATCGTTGCCAGGTCTGGTGATCAGAACATGCAGCCGGTGCCACATGGCGTCAGGCGTGCAGTCCCCATGGTGGAAGCCGTGCGTCGCCCTGCCGTGGGCCGTCGCTAATCATTTGAACTCATACTACGTTCGACCGTCGTTGTGGCCGGCAGCGCCCTAGACCCTTCACATGCCATGGCCCTCATTCGACGCATGTGACGGGTGTGCCTGCGCAGGCCTCCAAGGAGACTGTGAACGAGCTGCTGAAGAAGGCCTGGTTCCAACAGGGGGTTGGGCAAAGCTCAGCCGTCGCTCTGCAGTACGCGCAGCAAATAATAAACCAGCCTGCCAGCAGGCCCACGGACATGTCCGATTCCTCGATGGTCCAGGGTACCCGCGGAAGCCTTGGGTTGCCTGAGGAAGCTCAGACATCGTTGACCAACGTGCCCTTACACCTCGTACAGCGGGATGTCTGATCGCATGTATTTACTGCACCTGAGTGTGTGGAGTGTCCTCCTCCTCCTCCACCTCCTCCACCTCTCCACTGACAGGCCCTCCGAGACATCAGGAGCCCTTCGGAAGGGACCTTCGGCGGTCGCAGCACTCTGTTGAGGGCCCAGCAGGAGCCGCTGCTCCTCAGAGGGAGCATGGGGGGGGAGGCTCCGGGCTGTGTCCACAGGAACGCCGCTTGTTTCAAACAAGAAAACTGCATGAGCATGATCGTTGGGAGTATCGCGCGGATTTCTTGGATCGCCGCCAGGGGGGGCAACGCCGATCCAAGAAATTCGCTCGTAGCTCCGAAGTTTCATTATTACACAGTTGTCCTTCTATTGATGCAGTCTACCTCTGCAGGGTCACAAGTTTTTAGGGGTATTCTGGAGCCGGTGTTTTCAAAGGGTGCTCCGAGAAATCCTCAGCCGTCGTAGCTTCCACATTTGTCTTATTGACCCTGGTTGGCCTTCACTGGCTTTTGTTTGCCTGCGTGAGGCTTTCGTGGGGCCCGTGCCTGCCTCGTTAGCTGTCATGGGGGCACATGGGGCATTTCTTTTGCTAGCTGGCAATTTCCTGACGGCGCCTGGCACGCCTGCGCGCTCGCGAACAAAAAAGTACCCCCGCGAGCCCATCCAGAAACGCTTCCCAGGCGAGTTGTCTGAATCAGGGAAGCGCAGGAGCATGCCATGGAACAGAGATTGGGTGGGGGGCGGGGGGCAGCCGTCGAGCCGATGCTCGGCACCAGCCTGCAACCATGGGGGCCGACGCTGACCCTTCGATCCGAGAGCCCCCCCCCGCTTCGGCCCTGCCCCTCGGTCGAAAGCGAAGTCGACCACTCGGCCTCTCGCGGGGCGTGCTCTGCCCAGAATTCCGATGCGAACCCCCAGCCGTGGTGGCGAAGGCGCCTCAGGAGGCCCAGAGACGACGAAGCGCATGGAAACTCCCTCTCCTCCGTCCTCCCTCCCTTCTCTCCCCTGACCGCCCCCCCCCCTTAGGTCTCCAGCGGCCCTCCCCCGGGGCCTCTGGAGGTCCCTCCAGGTCCGTGAAGGCCTCCAGAGGCCGCTGGAGGCCCAGCGCGCATCACCAAAAACGTCCAAGAGCCTCGACCACTCCCCCCTCTCCATCCTCTTCCTCCCCCTTCCCCCTTCGTTGAGGCGGAGGAGTACAAGACGAAGTCGCAGACTGATGCGCAGCAGCTTCAGGAGCTGAGCTCGAGGCTGCAGTACGCGGAGCAGGAGCACGAGAGGCGGGCTTGTGGGGCCTCTCGGCGGGGTGCCCTTCTTGTGAGCGCGCCCCCCCGACCTCCTCCTCCTCCTCCGTCGTCCTTCATCCTTCATCATCCTCCTTCTCCTCCCTCTCCTCATCCTCCTCCTTCTCCTCCTCTTCCGTCCGTGGTGCTTCTGCTATATCGCATGACGCCTCACTGCTTCACCGCTTCAATGTCTACTGCGTCTCCGGCCTCTGTGCGCGTCGCGCACTATGAAGCCGCCCCGCTGGACGGATGTTTGGCCGCCGCTCTGCTCCTCCACCTCCGTCTTCCTCCTCCTCTTCCTCCTCCTCCTCTGTCCTCCCTCCTCCTCCTCCGTCATTCCTCCTCCGTTTCCCAGTCCCTCCCAGAACAAGTTGACGACAACGGAGTGGTAGGTCAGTTGACGCTATGTTCCCCCTCCTTCGTCAAGAGGGCCCCGCACGCCGCGATGCTCCGGACCTTGTCGAAATCCAGCGCAGCCAGCCTGCTGACAGAGGTTACGACCAGGAGCTTCGACTTAGCGTGGTGGGCCTCAGTGTCCAGGGTTTTTCTCGGCCTCCCAGCCCTGGCGCAGCGCGTCGCTGGGGCCGCCGCCGCGACACACCGAGCAAAAGTTCCTGACCGTAAGCGTTTGTGCCACGACCAGGTCAGAGCCCAGCTCGGGTTCAACCGGTTCACGCCTGTGCAACGAGGCTGCATGAAGGTTTTGTGCTGCGGAGCGGCTTGGACCAAGCAGATTGCCCAGGAGAGATTCGATCAGCACGACCGAACCCTTTGCAGCCTATGCGAGAGTGTTGGTGACGTCTTATTGCGCCGCCTGTATGTTTGTTCTGCTTGCGGTGAGGGGCGTGATTCGATCATCAAAAAGCTGGAACACACTGGTCAAACCTTTTGGACATGTTTTCCCCGACAAGAGTGACATTATTGTCTTCACCCTCGGGATCTTCGTGCGTCCTGGAGATGAGGTCCAGAGACCCTTGAGTGAAGGAGGTTTCTATGTAGTTTGGCCAGGGTCAAAGGACTGCATCGATCTCGCAGCCCCATGCGATGGGTGATTTGATGGCTGGTTGTACAGGAGTGTGGGTCCAGAACTGCTCAGGGTTGCGGGGGCAGTTGTGGCGTATCATGGTGACCAGGAAGTATTGTGCCACGGTACCGCGTCAGTGTGAGCCCCAAATCTTCAGATCTCGCAGGTTGTTGAGTTGCTTGCAGTCTCGGCCGCAGAACAAGTTTCCATTGCTGCGTGTGAAGGCCCATGAGACTGACAACTCAGACGTCGATTCTCCTAGGTTCTGCGGAGCTCGGTACCACCATGGTTGATCGGAATGCCAACTGACATTGTTCATGTCTGTTTGCCGCCGCTGCAAGTAATACATCAGAGGCTGTCTCCGCCAAGAAAAGAACACCGCCGTCCCCACCCCAACAGGGCTCAGAGAAGAACTCTGAACGCTTCCCGTATCCCCACCAGGTCATCCAAACACAATCAGTTTGCGAGTTTTCCTGATCAGGGAATCGTAGCAGCATGTCGTCGAACAGATGGGGGGGGCAGCAGCCACATGCGGAAAGAGGAGGAGGGCGAGGAGGACGGAAAAAGCAGGGGCCGAGACGAGAGCGAAAAAAACATGGAAGGTAGGAACACATATCAGGGAAAGGGCTTTCGCCGCTGCTTACTGCCCTCATCCTCCCCCGGTTTCATCCTCTACTTCTTCATCTCTTCTTCCTCCTCCTACTTCCCCTTTTCCTTCTCATCCTCCTCCCCCTGACCCTACTCATCATTCCCGCCAGGCAGAGGCACGACTTTCAGCTTGCCAGGCAGACCTCTCAGCGGCAGATCAAGGACTTAGAGGACATGCCTGGCTCGGCGCGCTATCTAGACTGGTGGTTGCCGAGAGGGGGATGTTGACGAAGGGGTGGGATGAGGAGTCAACGACGAGCAAGAGCAGGATCAGGAGGACCGAGTTGGACGGGAAGGAGCACGGTCCAGAGGGGGTGGAGGAGGAGGAGGTTGATGAGACACGGGCGAGGATGATGCGTGGAGGATGTGCAGGAACAGGATGAGGAAGAGCAAACATGGAAGGAGAAGGGAGCGAGGACGCAATAGCAGTTGCAGCAGCGGCGGGAGCAGGGATGAACGACGAGAGAAGAACGAGGATGGCGAGGAGGAGGAGGAGGAGGAGTGGGTGTGGTGGGTAAGAGCGGAGGATAGAGGAGAGAGGAGAAAGGAGGAACATAAAGATGATAGGGGGAGGAGGGGTGGAGGGAACGAGGGTAGGAGGCAAGGAGGAAGCGAGGGACGGGAGAAGAAGGTGAAGTCCCAGATCGATTTCTTCGCTGCATCTGACAGCATGTTCGCGTGGGATTGGGCTGATAATGCATCGCATAAGGTTTCCAAGCGCCCAGACCACAGACCAGCTCTCCCACATTTGACGTGCCACAGCGTCGCAGACGATAGTGCGCTTACGCGACCGTTCCTAAGAAGGCTGGGCGCCACCTTGTTTCGACAAGTTTGCATTGACAACACGGGTGTGGATCTGCCTGGCTATCAGCAGTCGGTGTTGCGAACGGCCGTCGGTGTAACCTTTTAGAGTGCCCGCGCCCAACTGCGTGAAAGTCCGCGTTGCCAAGATCGCCCGGAGAGCTGCAGCCAGTGCCAAGCCCGACGGAAGACGGCTTGTGACCTGAGACCCCCTCGGCACCATCCGCGAAGCGAAGCGCACGAAAAACTACCCCCGCTTGAGAGCACCTCTGCGGCGGACGAGCAGCGCCGCACCCCCGTTTCGTTGGTTCACCAGCGGCGCTCCGACGGCGGGCAGGGATGCCCGACAGCATGGAGGTCGTGGCACCAAAAACGAATGAGCGCCCACGTTCTCTCCCTGGAGTGCATTGCAAGGGAGGGCCAAGTTAAAATAGGGTGCTCAGAATCTTCTGCAGGGCGCTCAGGCGCTCAGAAGCCTCTGCAAAGCGCTCAGAATCCTGTGCAGAGCGCTCAGGCAAGCGCGCAGGAGCCTCAGAAGCCTCTGCAGAGCGCTCAGGCAGGCGCTCAGACGCCTCAGAAGCCTCTGCAGAGCGCCCACGCGCTTCTGAAGGCTGGATGTAAAGTGGGGCGTTCTGGTTCCCCCCCCCCTCCCGCCCCCCTCTGGTTTCCAGGCAAGGGGGTTGCCCTCCCCGTTTGCGGTCAAGGGGGACTTCCCCCCGCTCCAGTTTCCCGGGGGGGAGGGGGAGAAAATACCCCCCCACACACCCTGGGTTTCCCGGTTTACTGGACGGGGGGGGGGATTTGCCCAGTCGGGCGACACTGGATTGCGCCGCGCTCCTTTCTCTGGCTCAATCGGCACATGCAGCAAAGGTCGTCCATGCAGCAGTGGGCAACTGGCCGTCAAACCTGCGATCTGGGCCTCGCGAAAGAGAGAAGGGACAGTCAGGGGAGGGGAGAAAGAAGGGACAGTCAGGGGAGGGGAAGGAGGGTAGAACAGGGAGGAGAAAAGAGGAGGTGTGAGGACGATCGAGGGGGGGAGGACGAAGAGGGGGAAGAGGGGAAATACGAAAAGGCCAAGAAGCAGGGATGAGGGACCAAGAGAAGGGCGGAAACGGGTTACGTTGGGATGATGATGGAGATGCGTAGGTGGAGGTTCGAGGAGAGCGTTGTTTTGTTGATTGCACTCGTTCTCTTAACAATAGCTGGGATTGCATAGTCATTCGGCTCATGTGTTCTCTCTCGTTACTTTTCCCATCGCCTACATAATTGCATTCGGCATTTGCGCTTCGAGCCTTCACAGTATCAAGAGGCCTTTGCACATTTACTTCGCGACGGGGGCAGTTCAAGTGCTATCCCCTCGCTCTCCTTCGGGCTTCCCCTCATCCTCTTCAGCCCTGGCACTGTTCATATTTTGCTGTGGCTTATACTTTTACTTTGCTTTACTGGATCGCAGTATTGTCTGGTCGAATTACGTGGGGGTTCTCCTCCTCCAAACAGGTGTGTTCTGGCAGACACACTTGGAATGTATGGCGAACGCGCTTGGCCATTCACCAGATGGCACACTAGCCCGTGCGTATCCATGCTTAAGGACGCACGGGGGTCCCTCGTTCAGGATGGAGGTACGAGCGCTCCACGCTGTAATGGCTCGCAGGTCGCGGCAAAGACGGACACATGCAAACTAGTAGATTCAGTTTGGGAGACATCTGCTCAGAGACGTCGAGGCCAGGCCGCGGAACTGCTGCTCCGGTGGCTGGAGCATCAGAAAAGCGCAGGCTGCCTTGCATCTGCCCGCACGCGGCCCAGGCACGAGTGAGCACGCGCTGCTGTGGTACCAGTGGCACTCCCTGCTGTTTCGCCGGCTCCGCCATCCTCCCGGCATTCCTGTCTCCTTCCCCCTCCTCTTCCTCCGCGGATGGCGCTGCCGGTGAGGACGCCCCGCGCTCCCAGCCGCGTCCCGCGGCCGGGGCGCGGACTGAGGCGAGACAGGAAAACAGAGAAGGGTTGGGGCTGAGGTGAGGTTGGGTCGCAGTTTGGTTTGCGCCGGCTGCCGCAGTGCGCGGCGAGAGCCGGGCATACGACCGCTGAACTCCGGCGTGCTGGCGCCGATTGCTTGTCGTGCGCGAAGTCGAGGATGGCACGTTGCAGCAGGTATGGTTGCTGACTGTTGGCCTGCAGGGGGAGGCAGAGGTGTGAGCTGATCGGAGGATGCGAGGATGAGCCGAGGTTTTGGGCTGTGCCGACAGCGCCGAGCCTCACCGCATCCCGCTGCTCTTCTGTGCCAGGCCGCCAGCTGAGGGAGGGCATGACCGCTTGCCCCTCGACAGCAGGCGCTGTCCCATCTGAGCGGTGGCACGGGGAGGTCATCTCACGGAGGATCGGAGGCCGGGCCAAATCTCGGCATTCGCCAGACAGATGCAGCCAGGGCGCGTAGCCTCTGAGAGAATCAGTTGGAGCCATGCTGTTCGGTTGCGCGCACTGCGCACTGCCCGCTCGCTCGCTACGAGAAGCTTGCGTGTAGCTCGCTGAGCTATCTCACAACAGCGACCATGTAGAAGTGCGCCTCGCGAGTGGGAGCTAGCCGAGCTTCACTCAGGTGCATAGGGAATGATTACTGTCACGTCAAGCAAGGAGCTGGGATCGGGGGAGTGAGGAACAGGAGAGGAGGAGGAGGAGGAGGAGGAGGAGGAGGAGGAGGAGGAGGAGGAGGAGGAGGAGGAGGAGGAGGAGGAGGTGGGAGCGGGTCGGGAGGATGAGAGACGAGGAATTAAGGGGGAGGACGAGGGGGGGGCGGATAAAGGAGCAGGAGGAGGATGAGGAGGAGGGGAAGGAGGAGGAGGAGCAGGAGGAGGAGGAGGAGGAGGAGCAGGAGGAGGAGGAGGAGGAAGAAGGGGAGGGCGGACAGGGGTGACGAGGTGGATGAGGTAGGAAGATGGAAGAGAAGAGGGCCAACCTGCCGACATGCCAACCCGCCGACATGCCCAGGACAGCACAGGCTGTTCTGGCGCAGCACATCGGCTTATTTTGCATCGTTGCGTGCTCTCCGATGGGTGGTGTGCGTGCCATTCTTGATAAGAGCAACCAGTGGGCGGAAGTTGTCTACAGTCGGCACGATGGAAAACACTGGAAAATCCATGCCAATAATCACCCTGCTTGCCTCCAGGGAGCCCTGGGTTTCTTGGGTTTCGATGGTATTGCGATGGAGAGCGTGACGTTCCCACACCAGACATCAATGGACGTCCTGGAGTCTCAGGGCTGGGTTTCTTGTGGAAGGTTTCTTGTGGTCGAGCTCCTACTGTAAGAGTATCCAGTGGGCGGAAGTTGTCGACAGCCGTTTCGTCAAGGAGATTCCTCGTAGAAAGACGTTGGATGTGCGGCTGGTTGGAGGAAGCCCCTCGCGGGAGGGACCCCCCAGCCTCCTGTAGCCATTCGAACCCCTCTCCTGAGGGGGCTCCTTCCTCCGGCCCGACCAGAAGCGTCGGAGGAGCAGACGACGGCGATACGCGTACAGGGTCAGCGGCACATGATTCCTGGGCCAGGGGTCGCGTCGGGGACGGCCGTGGGCGACGTTGGTCTTGCAGGCGAGGGGCCCAGGGGCCATGCGGCACGGACGGGGGAGGGGGCGCCGCGCACATAGGATCAGCTGGAGACCTCGCTGGTGCAGCACTTCTCCGCACCCGGTCCGGCCCGCGGCCGCGGCAACAGCTTCGGCGGTGACTCGCTCGCGTCCCAGTTGGGCTGCCTCGAGGAGGCGGACGAGGAGGAGGACCGCCCTGGAGCACCTTTCCTGACAGCCGGGCGGTGCGCAAGAAGCACGGCGGGCTTTGTTTTTTTCGGTGGCGCTGCGGGGGCCCCAGAGCCCTCACGCACCGATCTGGTGCTGGAAACGTTGGAGCAGAGAGGTTGTTTATCGGCCACGCGCAGAGGGGGGTAGGGGGAGGGGGGAAGGCTTCTTAAAAGCAGGCTCCTTCGAAGAAGCCTTCCCCCCTTCCCCCTACCCACTTGTGCGCCCCTTCAAGTTTTGGGAGTTTGCGCGTTTTTTTTTTAGACGGTGCGATTTGCTCCAAGACGTCGGACCTCAGGGAAGCCCGCCCTCTTCGCCTCGCCAAGCTGAGGGCACAGTAGAAGCGAAATGAGAGTCGGTGGATCGTAATCATAGACATTGTTTCCCCGTGCGCGAGGGTCCTTGTGACGATCTGTACGGCCGCGTGCCAGACCGCTAAAGCGCCACCGATGACCAGCAATGTCATCAGGCGGTACCGCGTGGCTCGATGAACTCTCGTGCGGGCCCCAGATATGGTTTCAGGGTCGGTCTGGAGCGCAGAATTCCAAGAAACATGAGCATGGTGCCGAAGTGAGGGCACGGTTATCCATCCGCGTTGTTGAATTCTCACTTCTGAAGAATAATTATTGTTGATCCCCCCTCACCGGTGCATACTGTTTTTTCTCAATCAAAGTGTGCCCCTCGACGCTCGCACCCATTTTTTTTCGACAGGGAAAGTCTTGATGCTCAAACTGGGCCCCTGGCCCCCCGGATTACAACAACGGCTCCCGCTTGAGATTTCCTCCAAATTCACTCAGGACCCCTGCTCCTGAGACTTCTCACAATTTACTCAGGACCGGTGCTCCCGCCTCTGACTTCTTCGCAATTTAGTCAGGACCCCCGCTCCCATCTGAGACTTCCTCACAATTTTCTCAGGCACGGCGCTCCCGCTTGAGACTGCCTCGCAATTGAATCAAGTTTTTCTTCGCAATTTAATTAAGGCACCCGCTCCCACCAGAGGACCCTCCACATTTTATTCAGGAATTGCGCTCTCGCCTGTGACTTCCATGCAATGTATTCAGAAATCGCGCTTTCGACGCTCAGGAAACACGCTGCGCCAAAGACGCCGCTACAATTTACTTAGTAATCGCGCTCTCGCCATACTCAGGCACCCCGCTTGAATGTCTTACTAGCCCGACCCGCCCGCCAGGGGATCGCCCGCCCATTGTGGGCTCCCGCCCGAGACTTCCTTCAGGAACGGCGCTTTCGCCTAGGACTTCCTCGAACGTTCAAGCTCTTACCTTCCTGCTCCTCCTCTCTCTCCCTCCTCCCTCCTCTTCTCCCTTCTCTCTCCCTCCTCCCTCTTCCCTCATCCTTATGCCTCTCTGCCCTATCCCCTCTCCCTCCTCTCCCTCCTCGCTTCTCCCTCCCCTCTCCTTCCTCCTCCCTCCCTCTTTCTTTTTTTTTTTCTTTCTCTCTCTCTCTCTCTTTCTCTCTCCCCCTCTCTCTCTACCTCTCTTACATGTCTTGTTCTCTCTCTCTCTCTCTGCCTCTAATCAACTGCCGCCCTCTTCGCTCCTTCTCTCCTGGTGTGTTCCATCTTCCTTCGTCCGTCCCCCTCCCTTCCTCCCACTCTCCCTCGTTCTCCCCCTCCTCTTTTTGCATGGCCCACACCAATTCCAATGGCGGGCACATGTACGCCCACGAGGGATTGTTTGCCCGCCTGTCTAAACCCGCCGTTCCCCGCAACGAGAAATAATCCCCCCAAAGGGGGTGTGTGCGAAGAAGGGCGGGTATCGAGGGTGTGGCGAACTCGTTTTGAACGACACGCGGGCAAGTAAGAGCGAACAGTCTCATAATAAGTGTTGTTGATGCTGTTGCTGCTGCTGTTGCTGCGGTTGTTGTCGTCGTTGGGAACATACGCCATGAGTGTAATATGTGAGGGAGTCTCACTTGATGTGAAAATGGGGCCGCCCGCCCTCCGTTCGCGTCTTCGAACATACATTTTTTGTTTTACCGTCAGGCATGCAGGACTCCCAGGCGAGATCCAGTTCTTGAAGAGGCGCTTCAATCCATCCGTGTGCCGATCGGAAACGCCCAGCTCCATTGAGTTCGCGTTAGCCATGGAACCGGCCTCCACCCATGACAAAGTAAGACGTGTCTTCAATGACAAGCACGTCGAATTTATGGCATTGGAATCTGTTTCAAACGAAAAAAACTAACATCGAAGCGGTCTGCCCTCCAGCCGTGTAGCTGCTGCGCGTTTCAAACTTCCGTCTCACGGGACCATGTTGGCCAGCGTGGGCCCCACACAGTGTCTGATTACACCCTGGATGTGTAAGCTGTGCTGCAAGCGTGCTGTACAAGCTGTGTGGTGAAAGCTATGCGGTGCAAGCTACTTGGTGCAAGCTGCGTGGTGCAAGCTACGCGGTGCAAGCTGCGTGGTGCAAGCTGCGTGTTCCAAGCCATGTTGTGCCAGGTATGTGGGGAAGGCTTTGCAGTACAATGTATGTGGTGCAAGCTATGTGGCGTGAACTGCGTGGTGCATGCCGGGTGGTGCAAACTGTGTGATGCAGACTATGTTCCACAATCTTCGTGGTACAAAGAAGCCGCGTAGTGCAAACCATGCGGTGCAATCTAAACTGTATAATGTGGCGACGGACGGGAGAGGAACCGCCAGGGCCGCATATTAGTTTTTTATCTGGAAAGCGGGGCGGCGACGGACGACAACGGTGCCGCCTTGCCCGCAGACGGGCCCAGTTCCTCAGAAAAGAAAAGTCAGAACCTTTCAGGGCAAACGCTGCTTTTGGACATATGCGGTCTCCATAATAACAAAAGGCCTGTCCTCCATTCATGTGGACGTGAGGAACCCCTAGCCACCCGGTAGTTCAGTGCGATGTGATAGTCAGCGGAGTTCTGGTGTTGAAAGTAACTTGCCCTCCATCCGTGTAGCTGTTGGACGGTCCGATCTTCGGGAAGCGACGGTTCCTCCTCGAACCGTGTAACTACGGAGATTGCGAAGTTGCAACAACATGACACCTGGGGAAGTCTCCAGCGGAACGCCCCAACCGCCCTACCGACACGCCTGGTGGCGCGACGAGGAGGAGCTCTTTCTGAAAGGAGGGTGGGAAGGGGGAGGGGGGGGGGAAGAATGACAAGAAGGACCCCCTCCGCCTGACATGCCCCGTGACCCTCTTGAGTATTTCGGATCCCTGGGCAGACCCGTTCCTCCTCCCCCATCCTCCTGACACAAGTTTTGGTTCATATGGTTTGGGACGACGACGAGGAGGGGCCTCCGAGGACGAGCAGAACGCGGGCGGGGGCGGCGCGGGCTTCGACCCACACGAGATGGCCCGCGTGGCGCGCGAGAACGTGAGGCTTCAGAGCCAGCTGGCCTCGTCCGAGGAGGCCTGCCGCGCCCCTCCACCCCCATCCCGGAAGTCGGCTCCCCCTCTTCGGCTTCCTCTTGCTTCCCCTCCTCCTACTCCTCCTCCCCCTCCTCCCCCTCGTCATCGTTCTCCCGCCCCTCGTCTTCCTCCTCCTCCTGCTCATCGTCGTCATCATCAGCATCGTCATCAGCAGCAGCCGCATCGTCATCATCATCATCATCATCATCATCATCATCATCAGCATCAGCAGCATCATCATCATCTGCAGCAACATCAGCATACTCACCATCAACCATGACAGCAGTATCGTAATCAGAGTAAACGTCATCATCGGCACCACCACCATCAACATCATCATCACCATCACCATCATCATCATCATCATCATCATCATCATCATCATCATCGTCATCACCATCATCATCACCATCATCATCATCATCGTCGTCATCATCATCATCATCATCATCGTCGTCAGCATCATCATCATCTACATCATCATCTGCATCACGATCTGCATCTTCATCTTCTTCCTCGTCCTCGTCACCATCAGCAGCAACACCATCAGCATCAGCATCAGCATCATCACCACCACCATCCTCATCATCACCAGCATCGTCATCATAATCAGCATCATCATTATCATCATCACCACCGCCATCACCATCACCATCATCATCACCCACACTCCCCCCTCCACACGCACACGCCCTCCACACATAGTCACACACACACATTCACACACACAGACACGTACACACATACATGCACACACACACACACCCTTACACACGCACACAACCCCCACATTCTCTTTCTCTTGTTCCTCCTTCTCGTTCCCCCTCCTCTCTTCTCCTCATCCTCCTCTTCCTCCTCCTCTTCCGCCGCCGCCGCCGCTTGCTCCTCCCCCTCCTCCTGCTCATCCAACTGCTCCTCCTCCCCCTGCTCATCCTCCTAGGCTTCAGTGTCAGCTGGCGTCGTCCGATGAGACCTGCCGTGGCGTCCCCCCCCCCCTCCCCCTCTCCCAAGAAGTCGTCGCCTCCTCCTCCTCCCGCCCCTCCTCCTGCCTCCCCCCCCCTCCCTTCCCCTCTTCCTCCTCGTCTTCCTCCTCATCCGCCGCATCATCATCACCACCATCGTTACCATCGCCTCCTCACCACCAGCATCATCATCATCGTCGTCATCATCATTATCACCATCCTCATCATCATCATCGTAATCATCACTGTCATAATCGTAATCATAAACATCAGCCCCATCACAATCACCATCACCATCATCATCATCATCATCATCATCATCATCATCATCATCACCCGCATCAGCATATCCATCATCAGCATCATCAGTATCCTTGCTATTACCTTGGTCATAACCATAATCAGCATCACAGTCACCGTCGTAATCGGCATCATCATCGCTGTCGTTCTCGTCATCGTCATCACCATCCCCACTATAATCCTCATCCTGATCAGCATCATGCGCTGCATCATCCTACTCAGTTCGGTCTCGGCACCCTTGTCACACATCTCACCACCATCAAATCAAGCATCACCATCATCACCATCATCATCACCACCATCATCACCACCACCACCATCATCATCACAATCGGCATCAGTATGCTCATCATCATCGTCGTCGTAGTCGTCGTCGTCACTGGAATCGCCATCATAGCAGTGCATTCAGCATCAAGAACACCAGCACCATTTCACCAATGTCAACATCGCATTCCATTGCATTGCACCAGCAACATCCCACCAACACCAGAACCATAGCAGTGCATTCAGCATCGGCCATCACCGTCAACACCAGCTACACCACATTCAGCATCAAGAACACCAACACCATCATTACCGTCATCAGCATCGCGGCGGTCTCGCTATTCCTTATCTGTGTTTCTCCCTTCCCCTGGTCGCGTTCGCTGCGCCTGCTGGCTTCTTCTTTTGGGTTTTGGTTCGTCTAACCCACTGTGGGATGGTGCCCATCACAGTGGTGCGAAACAACTCCTCTCCGACAGTCAAACCCAGTTGTAGAATGGCGAAGGCCCAAGGCTATGCCGATGTGTTCATGCTGGGGCCTGCCCGACAGAGAGATGGCTCTATAACACGCGCGGTTCACACTCCGCTGCGTTTGTACTTGTCTGCGGTTCCGCCTTGTTCCAACGCGTGTTGCACGTGCAGTCCAAAATCTGCTCCGTATTCCATGCTCCACCACGCTGCTAGCGTGGTCTCGATTGCGAGTGCGACGTAGGCGAGGCCGTCCCGTCCTGCTCCTTCCTAACCTGCCCTGTCCGCTCTCCAGACCGCTCACGCCCTGGGCGGTCTCGGCGGCAGGAGATCTGACAGAGATGTCGGGGGTCTGTTTCCGCCTCCACCCCCATCGGGTGGAGGCGGTCTCCGCATTCTGTCCTTACTCCTGGGGGTGGTCATGCTCAGCGCAACCCAGCAAGCTGGCTCTTGCACATCGATGGCGGGGGTGCACGATTCTCACCATACGTTTTCCTTTGAAGCCCTCATCGCACGGTTCTGAAATTGTTGCGGGTCCTATGGAAGGGAGCAGTTGAATCAAGCATTGAAGGGACCTTGCACTCAGGAGGCTTCGAATACTCGGCAGGCATATCTTCGCCGCGTCGCCCAGGGGCTCTGGCCAAACGCTCCGACCCGCGCACAACAGGCAGCGGGGGCTGCGCGGTAGCCCCGATCTTGGAGCGCGTGTTTGTGGCGTCCACTGCACTCCGCTCCTCTTCCTCTGCAGCTTTCAGGCGGCGTCCACTGCTGATTCCGCTCCCCTCCCTGCTCGCCACCACCGCCCAACACCTCCCCACACCCTCGCCTCCTCCCCACCTCCCTGCCCCTCGGAGGAGGAGGCCAGGCGCACTCGCGCAAGTCCAGCAGGGGCGGCTCGGTGGGAGGCGGCACGCGGCCTGCTCGGACGCGTGACCGCCCGAAGCGCGCGAGGGAAGAAAGGAGGAGGCGATAGAGGAGGAGGAGGAGGAGGAGGAGGAGGAGGAGGAGGCGAAAGAGGACGAGGAGGAGGTGGTGGAAAAGGTGGAGGATGGTCGGGATGGCCATGCCGATCGTCCCCTTTCACTTCCGTCTCCCACAGCATCTGAGTGGCTGTGAGGGCCTGTGAGCTGTACAGAACCATACATGTACAAATTCAAAGTGCAGCAATATCTTAGTGGAGCGTTCTCTTTCACGTTGCACCCCGACCCAAACCGTGAGCTCCTGCCGTCTCGTCTTTCGGATTGGTTCCCTGGGAATGGTCCTAGACTCGCTCAGATTCCTTGGGATGAGGTGCACCGTGTGCCTTCCAGGCTGAAGCCGTCGTTGGCCTCAGTTTTCGCACGGTGTCACAGAATTGGCTTACCCAGTGCCGATTTCAAAAGCCGGTCGCCGACGATGCATGCTATAATCAGCGCGTGAATAACCTCCCCCGTTTTCGCTTCCAGGCAAAACCAAGGCATACCACGCGCCTCCTCGTCAAGCGGCCTGACCAGTACAGGCCGTAGTTTGGCATCGTTTGGTATCTCTTGGAAGCGAGGGTGGTCAAAAGCGAGGTAGGTTTGTTTCCCTCCTATATAAACTAGGCTGCTCTCGTTCCTCTGATCACATCCACCATTACTGGTGCTGCGTTCCTTTTAGCGCCCTCGTCGCCAAGGTTATGTGCTTCCCTGTCCTCTCCTAGGACCCTCTGGACCGCCTTGGGGTGCTGGAGACGTTTCGACAATCTGCCGAGATCCCGATTGTAGCCTACTTCTTGTACAACGCGATTCGGGCGAAAAACTCGATCCTGGAGTCAGCTGGTGCCTGTCGTGGCACGTGGCGCGTGGGAGTGCATGCGCCTCGGCCATACGGAAGGAGGAAAAGATGGAGGAGGAGGAGGAGGAGGAGGAAGAAGATCAGGAGGAAGAGGAGGAGAAGAAGGATGAGGCGGACAAGGTGGGGGAGGAGGGAGGAGGAGGAGAGGAGGAGGAGGAGGAGGAGGAGGAGGAAGGAGGAGGAGGAGGAGGAGGAGAGGAGGAGGAGGAGGAGGGGAGGAGGAGGGGAGGAGGAGGAGGAGGAGGAGGAGGAGGAGGAGGGAGGAGGAGGAGGAGGAGGAGCAGCAGCAGCAACAGTCTCGCCTCCCTCCGCCCTGCGGGAGGCGGTGGAGGCGCTCAAGCTCCAGGCCCGGCGGGCCGCGCAGCTGCGGGCGGGGGCGAAGTGGCAGCTCGCTGCGGCGCGCGCGGCGAGCAAGCGGATGGAGGAGCTGCCCCCGCGGACGGGGAGGCGCACAGTCAACCATGATAGTAAGGATGGGGCAGCTTTCCAAGGCTACCCTTGCATCCTTGCCCCTTCGGTAGTCGGCATCCTTCGGCATTATACTGCGCTCCGCGCGGAAAACGTCAACATGGCGTTCCAAGGCCCTTGCATCCTTATCGCACATCTTCACTATCCTGGTCGAGTGTAAGCATCGGGTTCGGGGCACTGCCGTCAGGAAAGTAACACGGCCCAGTCTGAAATTTCACGCGAGTTTCCGCTGCAACCATCCCACGAAAGCCGGACCGTCAGAAGTCAGGGCGGGTCTGTCAAAAAGCGTTGGAAAACCCGTGTTCTGGCCAGCTCGAGTCCTAGTTTTCCCCAGCGCATGTAAACTTTGATAGTGCATCGCGGAAGCTGCCGCTGGTCTCGGATTGAATGTATATCGACGAGTATCGCCCACTAGTGTTCAATTGCGCCACAAAGTACGTCCGTTTTGCGCCCGATTGGGCGCGTTAATGCGCCATGGGGGCGACCAAAAGCATCCGTGAGTTGCGTTTTCAGTAAATGTGTGCTGGTATACGTGTTGAGGTAGTGCCCTGCAGGCCATTGGTGCAGGCCCCCAGGGTCGACATGAGCCGTCGGCGCTATGACAGCGAACTTGCCCTCTCATCATTCACGCGCACGACTGCCCCAGCGGGAATTCGAGAGAAATCCCCCAGCTCTTCCAACCCGTTTCGGGCGGAAACGTTTTTCAGCATGTAGGCAGTCTCGCAACGCTTCAGGAAGCCTGAACAGACGTCAGGACGCTTCAGGACGCCCCGGGAGGCCCCCGGAGGCACCACGGGGCTCCAGGAAGTCCCAGGAGACCCTTGGAGGATGGCGAGCATTGTGAGAAAGTCTCAGGCGAAACGCATGGATCGCGCAACACGATGATACGCAGCACGCAACATTGCCATGGCGTAGAAGAGTCGACCAAAGTTTGGCACACCAGCGTATAGCATGCAGCATGCATCTCATAGAAAGTCCTTACCAGCTTCGTCGATTCTCTCAGTTTGTGGGTCCGTGGAGGCAGCCCTCGTGAGAGATGACTTCAAGGGCCGAGGCCGCACCTTCTGGTGAGACGGACTCGCTGGCGGCTGCCGCCTGGCTTGACTGGATCCACGCTGGTGGATGGTGCGTGGCGGAGGACGGGGTTGTCTCGCCTTGTGCCGTCCAGAACCCTCCCGAGGGTGTTGCCCTCTGCTGCCGGCCTTGCTCAGGAGTCCGGCGTCAGGGAGGACAACAAGAAGCTGCGGGGGATGCTCGAGTCCGAGCGCCTCAGCTCAGAGGAGGTCGGCCGCCCGCCCCCTTTGCCTCGGGCCCTCCCCCCCCCCCTCCCCCCCTATCCCCCTTGTCCCCCCCCCTCTCGCTCCTCTCCGTCCTCACCCCTCCTCGCCACCCCCCTCGCTCCCCGCCCCTCCTCCTCTCCGCTGCTCCATCCCCTTCCTTGACAGTTCGGCCGGTGCGGGCTCCGCGCTGCGGGCAATGGGCAATGGGGAGGCTGGGAGGAGGCAGTGGGGAACTTGAAACCGTCTCTTCCTCTTTTTCCTCCTCCTCCTTTCCCTTTTCCGCCTCATTTTCCACCTCCTCCTCCTCCGCCTCCTCCTCCTCCTCTTCCTCCTCCTCCTCCTCCTCCTTCCCCCTCTCCTCCTCTTTCGCCTCCTCCTCCTCGTCCTCCTCCGAGAGGAGGGGAGGAGGTCAGGGTGTGGAGAAGGGAGATGTTGGGCGGTGGAGGCGAGCAGGGTGGGGAGTGGGAGCAGCAGTGGACGCCGCCCTGAGCAGCAGAGGATCGCGCGGGTTCTCCATCTGGCCGCCCCGGCTCCGAGGGCGTGGTGGCAGAGGAAGCGGAGCCGCAGGCCAGCACAGGTCGCTCGGAGGGGAGACAGCCAAGGACGCGGAGGGGAAGAAGGAGCCGCACCCAGCGCGCTTCGACACAATCTTTGGCCAGCCCAAAGATCCTCGCCAGCGAAATTGCGCGTCCAGATTGGTGGGCCCTCTCAGATAGGGTCACATACCCGTCTGGGAGGTAGACGCATCTTTAATCGGGGCCTCATGATCATCGCAATGTAGCGGGCGAAGCGCTTTAGCCTCCCAAGGGGAATTCGCCGAGGGTGTATTACACGGGCCCGTTCGCGTCCAGATTGGTGGGGCCTCTCAGATAGATTGGCCGATTCGGGGCGTAGACGAGTCGCGGCCTTTGCGACCAGGCATGGGAAGCACTTGGGCCTCCAAACGGGTGGGTCGCAGAGGGTGCATTACGCGGGCCCTTTCGCGTCCAGACTGATGGGACCTCTCGGATACAATGTTCTATTTTGGAGGTAGACGCGTCTCGCTTGAGAGCCCCATGATCATCGCGGCGTGGCAGGCAAGGCACTTGGGCCTCCAACGCGGGAGCCGCAGAGGGTGTACCACACGGGCCCTTTCGCGACCAGATCGGTCGGGCCTCTCAGGTGCAATGTTCCGCGGTGAAGGCGGACGCGTCTCTCGTCAGAGCCCCGTGATCGTCGCGATGTGCAGGCGACGCACGTGGGCCTCCAAAGGGGGAGCCGCAGAGAGCGTATTACACGAGCCCGTTCGCGCCGAGACTGGTGGGGCCCCTCCCGTAACATGTTTTTCTTTTCTGAGGCGGATGGTTTCCTTTACAGCTACGTGGCGGGGTCTGGAAACCCTGCACCCAAAACGTTGCCATCCCTTGGGGGTGTTTGTTTTTCTTCGGCGGGCTTTCGCCGGCCTTCCGCCAGCTTCCGCCAGCGGAGGCGGCCTCGTTTTAGTTTCGCCACCGTCCACCAGCCGTCAGCCGCCTTCCGCCGAGGAAGAGATGACAACTCTTTTGCTTCTCGAAGGCGAGGCCCCTCCTAGAACGACTCACGTGGCCACCGCGACGTAGCAGGCATCGCACCTGGGGCTACCCATGGGGAGCCGCCAGTAGATGTAACCCGGGCCCGTTCGAGTCCAGATTGGCAGGACCTCCCAGGCGCCCTGACTGCGGGATCTTTTCAAACATGCCCACACGCCCAGATCCGTTCACGCTCTGGCCCACTCATACCCAGAGACGTTCATATCCAGCGACACAGATACTCAGGCTATCTCTCTCTCTCTCGCACTCAGACCCATGTACGCCCAGGCGCTCATACGCAGGTGCCCTCACATCCATACCATTGCTACCAATACCCGCTCATACTCTGACCCAGTCGTGCTGAGACATTACCCCAGTCACACTCGGATGCACTCACACTCAGAGCCCCTCACACCCAGACTCGTTCATACTCAGACCCACTCGAATCGAGACTAGCTCGTACTAAGAAACACTCAAACCCAGCCACCTCTACTCAGACTCAATCACGCCCAGACTCACGCACACTCAGCCCCTCGTTCCTTCCCGGAACCGCTGACACAGACCCGCGCACACTCAGACGCTCAGAGAGGAACCTGCCAGAGCAAGGATGCACGCGCGGGAACCCCCGCCTCGAACAGCTCAGCCCCGCCTGCTTCGGCATTGGCTGCGCTGGCACAGGAGCCCCCTTCGTGAGCCCGAGCCTGCGCAGGAGATGTCCGCGAACCGAGCCGGCGCGCTGCCCTCCAGCTGGAGGCGGGCGGGCGACAGGCGCGGGCCCCCCGCCGGCGGCGCCCGCGCCGCCCCGCCCGCAGGTCGCGGCAGGCCTGCAGGCGGGCGCCCCCGCCCCCCTCGCCCGCGGCGCGGGCGTCCGGCCGCCTCGGGGCCGCCGCCGCTCGCCCGTCGGCCGTCAGCCCTCGCCGGAGGGAGAGACCCTGGGCGCGCGCCCGCTGGCTGGCAGCGGAAGGCACGGCGTCGTCGTCGTCGTCGTCGTCGTCGTCATCGTCGTCGTCGTCGTCGCCGTCGTCGTCGCCCTCGCCGGAGAGAGACCTTGGGCGCGCGACCGCCGAGATGCGGCATCCGCGGCCTGCGCGCTTGGGTTTGGCTCCCCCGCGCCCCCCCGGAAGTCGCACGCCAGAGGTCACGCTTGCCTAGGGTCGGACTGGTCGAGATGGAGAGGAGGTCTCACACCAAATCTGGTGGAGGTGGAGGGGGAGCCTGATACCAGACCTGGTGCAGGTGCAGGTCGGTGAATCGTCGTCGTCAGCAGCAGCAGCAGCAGCAGCACCATCATCATCATCATCACCATCATCATCATCATCATCATCATCATCATCATCATCATCATCATCATCATCATCATCATCGTCATCGTCATCAACAGCATCGTCATCATCATCACCAGCGTCATTATCACCCTAATCATCGTCATCCTCATTGTTATCCTCATTGTCATTATCATTATGATTATCCTTTCGATTATCATTCTCATCAGCAGCAGCATCAGGCTCATAATCATCGCCCTCGAGCCTCGACACCTCTTCTCCTTTTCCTCCTCCTCCTCCTCCTCCTCCTCCTCCTCTCCCTCCTCCTCCTCCTCCTCCACCTCCTCCTGCTCCTTTGCCCTCCTTCTCCTCCCCCTCTTCTCCTCCTCTCCCTCTCCTCCTCCTCCTCCTCCTCCTCCTCCTCCTCCTCCTCCTCCTTCTCCTTCTCCTTCTCCTTATCCTATGCCTGTGGGCTGATACTCAGCATCGACAAGTGTGTAGTCGCGGTCTGTTGCGACTTTGACCGGGACGAGATTATCGGAATCCTCTTTGAGAAGGGGTTCCCCGCAGTCCGATTGAAGTGTATGAGTTTCGGTAAGTAGATTGGGGTACATTGGGTAAGATCGGGGTGTGAGCTATCGTTCGAGGAACCTGTGAATAACGATCAAGATTGTGCACAATATGCAAGCAGCCTTCATCAAGGAGTTGCACGCTCAATCGTTATGCGTAATTGCCATTCCCTGCCGCTCATCTCCTACCCGTGCCAAATCTACTCTGTCTCCAAGCGTGTGGTGCAGCAGGAAGAAGATTGCCTTGAGAGACTTACGAATGGTCTTCGGCACGCTGTTCTCCATTAACTATTCTCCAATCTCGACGGAGTCGGCTTCAAGGTGCGTGCTCACAGTCTCGAGATGTCGAATCGCGCCGCGATGAATCGCGTTCTTGTGCGCTATTGTTCTTTCCGCCTAGCTGAGCAGGCACTTGAAGATAGTTCAAGCGGTGGTGATTGCCTGCTGGTTTACCAGGTCAACCCTACATCTCTCAGAGCACCTTCATGACTTTAAAGCGTATGTATGATATGGCATGGTCTCAACCTCATTTATGATGCGAGTGCTGGCCAGATGCTCTCTACGGCTGTCCCAATATATGCGGCTCTCTCTCTGCCTTCAGCCATTGTCGTTCCACAGGGAAGGGCGAACAACTATTCGCTTGCGAGTGTGTGTGCGTGTGTGTTTGTACGGTCGGGTGCGGGCCATGAGCCTGCATGTCCCGCACATCTGCGAGCCTGTCTCTGTCATGCCCAGTGCTGCCACCAGAGGGCTATGACTGCCATTCGCCCTCGTTTTCGTCCCTTGTTCTTGGCCGCCCGCCTCGTTTCTCCTTGGCTGATTCGGTCTCCTCCTGCAATTCCCTCTCCTCCTCCTCCTCCTCCTCCTCCTCCTCCTCCTGCACCTCCTCCCATTCCTCCTTTTCCTCCTCCTTCCATTCCTCCTCCCCCTCCTCTTCCTTCTCCTCCTCCTCCGCCCCCTCCTCCTCCTCGCCGCCCTCCTCATCCCCCTCCTCCTCCTCCTCCTTCTCCATGCGCCTCGCCCTTGGCGCGCCGCGGCTCCGCGCGCCGCCGCCCTGCCCGCAGGCCTCTCGGCCCGAGGTGGGTGGCCGCTGCGGGTCGGGTCGGGTCCAACGGGCGGAGGCCGCCGCTGCGCCCCCGCGCCCCCCCCCCTCGCTCTCCGCCCTTCCCCCTCCCCTTGCCCGCAAACTCGGGTCGGGGCGCATGGGTCTCTGGCTCGGGCGGGGCCGCCGGTCGGAGAGCGCCGCCGCGCAGGGCCCATAAGTCATGGCCCGTGCTCCAGCCCTCTGCTGCACGACAGGTCATCGGCGTCATCTTCTTCCTCTTGCGCCTCATTTTCCTCCTCCGCCTCCTCCTCCTCTTCCTCTTCCTCCTCCTTCTCCTCCTCCTTCTTCCCCCGCCTCCTCCTCCACCTCCTCGTCGTCGTCGTTCTCTTCCTACTCATCCCCCTCCTCCTCCTCCTCCTCCTCCTCCTCCTCCTCCTCCTCCTCCTCCTCCTCCTCTTTCTCCTCCTCCATCTCCTCCTCCCTCCTCCTCCTCCTCCTCCTCCTCCTCCTCCTCCTCCTCCTCCTCCTCCTCCTCCTCCTCCTCCCTCCTCCTCCTCCTCCTCCTCCTCCTCCTCCTATTCCTCCTCCTATCCCCCCCCCCTCTATTCCTTGTCGTTGTGAACAGCTCTTCCCTGACACACCCCGAGGCCAGTCGGAAGGGCGGGGTGGGCGTTTCGCTTGAGACGTCCTGGCCATCTAAGAGCCTCAGGCTCAAATGTTGGTTGACCAGTGCGAGGCTTCACGCTGGCGAGATTGTGAATTGCCGGTTTCGCTGTATTGGATGCCGAGACGATTTCGCGGAGGCTTGTATACCATCCTGAAGTGCCTCCAGTGTCTCCTGTTACTCGTCTCGGCCTCGACGGATCCCCCACTCCCGAAATTGTGGAACGGATCGTTCGAGCTTTTGTTTGTTACAACATTATCAGAGTTACTCCCGAGCCGAGCTTCCCTAATGTGGAGGCAGTCGATCGGCGCTTCTACAGCATACGGCGTGCGGCACTGGCCCTTGTAGAGCACTCTACAGCGCCCTTCTAGGCCTGTGTGCGTGACCCGTCTGGACCCCTCTTTGTACGAGTCACACCCACACATACGCGTGAACCCCACCCCCACACACATACACACAGTGAAACACCCATACATACACACACACGTACACATCCTTTTTGCTCGCATGCGGCCAGGAGATGAATCCACAATCCACACCCACCCACACGTACACACTGTTACGTATTTCGGTGGCCACGAACCCAGCGTCGTGGCGGTCGCAGCGCGTTAGAACTCGCGGCATGCGCGGCGGAATCAGGGACCAGGAACCCGCACACACGCACGCACACATTCCCGCGTTGGGGACAACGACGAAGGAAACGACGGCGACGGCGTTGATGGCGGCGGCGACGACAACGTCGCCGCCGCCGTTGCCGTCGTCGTCACCGTCTTCGTCGCGAACGTCGTCGTCAATACCGTCGTCGGGGGCGATGGAGGTTGGCTGTCGACCACATGTAAGAGTGACCCATCGCCGGAGTAACCTTTGGTGCGGGCCCGCTTGGTTTCGCCGATCCTTGCATGCTGTGCGACAGCAGCGGCTTGCGCGCTTGGGAGTGGCCTCCCCGCGCCCCCCGAAGACCGCCCACCAAAGATCACTCTTGCCTAGGGTGACTCTTGCGTGAAGCCGAGCTTGACGAAGCGAGGGCCCGTCGTCGGGAACGAGTCCTCCACGCAGCCTGAAAGAATGGTACCCCAGACACAGACAACGGGCACAAATTAGCTGGAAGATAAATCGAAACGGATTTGAGATGGCAATTCGTCTGGGGGGGTCGGTTGGTGCAGCGATCGAGTAGAAGATCGACTACATAATTGACTTACCCCAAAACTGATTGTTCAGTCGGATCCACGAAACACACGTACACTTGTCGTAGATCCATGTGGCATTCTATTTTTTCGCACACCAAACATTTTAATGTATGCTTGTTTTCTTTCTCGCGGCACTTTTGGCCAAGGCCCCTGCGGAATGAAGAAGTGCGGCGTTCAAAGCTTCGTTTGCAGGAAATTATGCGACCGTTTCCGCCAAATTTACTCATGCCAAGCATTTTTTCGCTCAGCAGGGAAAATGGGACAGCTTTATGTCCAATAGAAAAATGCCGCGCAACTCGACTACACAAAGAGCTTTCCTTTGGAGGCTGTTCGGATATGTTCGGTCTCTCGTACATATTCTTGGGTTTTCTCGGGGCCTGGGGAGTGTCCCAGAAAACCGAAAGAAGGCCCCGTATAACATCCCTAACACGAGAAACGAGCGTGCGCACTGATGCGGGTACACTGGCAATCCAATGCTGCGTTTTCGCTGCTGGGCAATTTCTGGCCACGCCAATGCCAAAATAAGAAAGGCATATCAAGGCCAATGTTTTGTCGTCGCTCTCGGGACTAAAACGCTCAGCGCCCGCCAACTAGAAATGTGTCAAACTGAAACGTTCGTTTGCAGGGCATTTGGGCGCGGCGCCGTCGCCAAAGATCAGTTTGGCGGCAGCTGCACCACTTGACAGTGGACTCGACCAGCAACCCATCGCTGGGGCAGATCCCTTCTGCAGGCGCCCTCCCGCTCGAGAGATGCCCCCTCTCCTCCGGGAGGCTCGGCCGGCGCAGCGAGGGCCTCTGAGCCGGGCGCCCGCGCCTCGAGGGGCGCCATGCGCTCCGAGGGCGAGGACCGACGGCTCCGGCTCCTGGAGGCCGTGCCCCCCTCGGAGCTGGGGCGCCGCGTAATGGGGGGGTCATAAATGGGGGGGGGGGGGGGGGCGAGCGTGGTCCGAAGAGGTACCCCAACGGTACCCAAACGAGCCCCCTGGGGCTCTGGAGGGGCCCGAAAGGGGCACGAAAGGGGACCTTTTCTGACCCCCCCATCTGTGACCCCCCCATTAAGCCACGCCCAAGGAGCCGGACGGCGAGAGGGCGGGGGGCCTCTCGCCGGGCCTGGCGCTGCACAGGCCGGCGGCGCGCGGGGAGGAGGGCGGCCGGGCCCGGACGGCGGGCGCCCTCGCGGGGGCCGGGGCGGGGGCCTCTCTCGTCGTTTTGTTCGGCCTCCCGGGTGCCCCGCGCGGGCCTCGGGGCCGTCAAAATCGGAGACGGTCCGGGCCGGAAGAGCGGCCCCATGGGGCCCTCTCGTCGAGAGGTCGGGGCCCGCGTCTATCGACGGGCCGTGGCGCCGGACGTCTGGGGGGAGGGAGAAGGGGAGAGTCGCCAGGAAGGAAGCGGGGTCCTGAGGGAACGGGGCCCCGAGAGCGTTTCGCCGTTCTGTGGCTGCCCGGGGTCCTCCCCGGGCCCCGGGGCTGTCAGAGGACAGCGCGGGCAGAGGCTTGGCGGTCGAGGATCAAGGAGCGAGGGGCGAGGAGGAAGGAGCGAGGGTCGAGGATCGAGGGGCGAGGGGGGAGGATCGAGAAGCGAGTGGCGAGGGGCGAGGGGCGAGGGGCGAGGGTCGAGGATCGAGGATCAAGCGGCAAGGAGCGAGGGTCGAGGAGCGAGCGTCGAGGATCGAGGAGCGAGGGTCGAGGATCGAGGAGCGAGGAGCGAGGATCGGCCGGAGAGAGCGAGAGCGGCCGGATAGAGAGAGATATTAGTAGAGAGAGGGAGAGAGAGCGGCGGCGGCAGCCTTCGCCTCGGGGCGGACAAATGGCGAGAAGAAGGTCGACTGTAGAACTGATGCACCCCAGCACTGATTTTGTTCGCCGAGTCTGCGGCAACTTGCTTGGAATGTGTGTAACGAACACTTTGCTGATCGTTCGTAGACTCTACACAAATAGTGCTGGGGTAAGCATTTGAGTAGTCATCTCCCACCCGGAAAAAAGGCCCTGAGATCCGGGCGCTGCCATGTTTGCACGCCAGGCGGTTTCGCCCGGATTTCGGGCCCTAGGACTTTCACAAATCGACTCCGCTCGAGAAGTGGCGCAGAAAGATGGTGTCCGCGAGTGTCATTTGTTTCGCGAGGTCGGATCTCAGGGTGAGAAGGGGAGAGGGGCTGCGTGCAGCTGGTTTCGGCTCCGCCGCCATGCGCTTTGTCGCAGTGCACGGCCGCCCCTGGCGCGGGGAGGGGCCAGAGACGCCAGTTGCGTGCAACTGGTTCGTCAACCCCCCGCTACTGTCCCACCCATTTCGTCCACCCCTGTTGGCAGCGAATCGAGAACAGGTCTTTGGGTTCCTGTGGGCGCCCTCGTGGCCACGGCCAGACGCGGATCGAGGAGCTGCAGCCAGCATGGACCCGGGGAAGATTGGGAGTTGGTGTTTGCTGGATGCTAGTGGTGGGCGGTCAGAGGGGGGCGGACGTCTAAGAAGGCGCCCCGCCTCTTGGAAGCCCTCGTGACCTCCTACGACGTTCACATAGTTTTCTCGGGGACACATAAGACCCGAGGAAGCCAGAACTCGGGTTTGCCGACGTTTTTTGGCGAGCTCGTCCTGGATTTTGACGGTCCAGTTTCATGGAATGTATGTAGCGGGAGTTCGCGTCAAATTTCAGATTGGGCCTCGTCATTTTTATGATGGTCCCGCCAGGCCAACCCAAGTCCCCCGTACCCGAGTCTTACGTCTCCCCGATTTTCGATGGGGGGCCAGTCCCTTCCAGGAAGACCCCCATTTGCCCTGCCTCCGTCTGGTGCGCCGCCAAGCAGGCGCCTTCGCGGCGGCAACGACGAGACGGCGTTCATCGGCGGCTTCTGCGCTGTCGTTGTTCTGGTCCTCTTCTTTTCCGTCTCCTTCCTGGAGCCGAACGAGTACGGCATCATGAGGAATCTGATCACTGGAGGCATCAGCATGGAGGTGAACCGTGGAGGCGTCCATGTCACAGGCCCTACCAGGTCTCGGGAGGCGTCAACTTGCACCTCTCCTCGATTCGCCAGTCCTTGGGCCCTGGGGCTGGTGTAACTTATTTCTGGGCCTGGCAAGGGGGACGAACGCACACCCTCCATGCGCTTAGGACGGGCCTGACCAGTGTCGTTGCTGGGATTTTGTGGGCGTCCCTCGAAGGTCGTTCATCAAGTTCCCAGCGACGCAGCTGACGCTGAAATTCTCCCAGGAGCAAGGGAGAGAGACGTGCCACGGGTGGGTGGCCGGCAGCTCTCGTCGTCGCGCGTCGCGTTGTTGCATCATTTCTTTTCGGCTCTTCGGCCACGGGCATCCTCGCACGCAGCCCGAACAGATAGTGAATGGTGCGAATGGTGCCCACACGAGAAGCAGCTGGCGGAGCGAAGTGGGCACCACTCTGGAAGGGTTCGCGCCAGAGACGAGCACGCAGAAATTTCACGTTGTCCGTGGACGGGGTTTGCCAGGCGGGGCGGCTGGTGCTATCTGCCAGGGCTGGTTGGGAATCGACTGAGGATGGCCAGAGGCGCATCTTCCGCACATTACTCGATCAGCAGTTCCTTCGATTCGGCAGTGGGTGTCTTACTCGTTGCGTCCCAGCCGTCTGTGGAGCTGGATCCCCGTTGTGGAGTGCCACGGCGCCGTGCGCCCTGGCCGCCTGGGTCCCCTCTGAGTTTCGGCCCGCTTCCCGCTCAGGCGCCCACAGACGTTGAAGAAGGAGCCACACGGGGCGCCTAGCGCCGATCCGGAAGCTCCACGCGGACGTTCGAAAGCTCCTGTCTATGTCGCTGGCGTCTTCTTCTGAGCAGGCCTTGGTCTGCCAGGTTGCCCTACAGAAGGCACAAGGCTCACCGCCCACCAAACCACCCCAACCCAACCCGAAGGCCCCGATTTGCCTTCTCTTTCCAGTGGGAGGGGGTCGGGGAACATTGACAAAACACGTGTGGAACCCGTACCCCCCCCAAACCCGAAATTCGGGTCTTCGGGTTAGGTCGGGGTGGAATGGCAGGTAGTCCAAGACCGCCAGCCATCAGGGAGGCTCGGCAGGCGGAGGCAGGGCCACACGGTGGAAGAGGTATTCTCCGCCCCCCCTGTGCGCTCCACCCGCCCCCCTCTCCCGCCTCCCCCCCCTCCGGCAAAGGGGAACAATCAGTGAACACGCCCCCTGCCCCCAAAATTCGAAGCTGGCACGCGCGGGGGAGACTGCGGTCGAGGTGCAACTCATCAGACCCACCGCCAATTTGGAACATTTGGGGGGAGGGGTAGGCGTTCGCAGATGAATGTGGCGTGAGTGCTCGCTATCTTTTTCCGAGGCCTGTCTCTCCTTCTCGCCGTTATGTTCATCTAGCTGCTTGGCACTCAGTGGGCACTGGAAATGGCAGGGCCTTGTTCTTACCGTTTGCCGGAGAATCTGGATCATGGGGACGACCAATCAAACTGTTCACCGAGGCGGTTTGAAAGAAAGGTTCGCCGATACGGCCGGGGCATTCCGAGGATGCGAAGGACGTTCGGAATCAGTTCGACAACGGTTCGGATCCGGTCAGAAACAATTGTGATCAGGCCCACACAAGGGAGAAACACACGGCATAATGACGGCGCCGGAAACGTCAAACCACGGCGCCAGAGCATTTGTTTAAAAAGACGGGGGCAATGTTGTTTTGTTAATGTCTCCGTGTAGGAAAAGGCCCTGCCACTTCCAGGGCCCACTGAGCGCTGGCATGAGCAAGTTCTCGCGAACCTCTCGCTCAGCTCCGAGCCCCTGCAAACGGAGTGTTTGTAAACGGGGTGGTAGCGAAGGGTGCGATTTCAAGTGCGCCTTCGAAAAAGCTTTTTGCCGCGCACAAGTGCGAGGTTGTCCCCCCGCCCAGAGTTATGATGATGTCTCGACGATCTTGTCGTCCCGAAATATCACGCACTAGTGCGAGGTGAATGCCCTGTCACCCTGGACTCGCTCGTAGAGGCCCCTCAGCTACCACCCCGTTTATCAACACGCCGTTTGCAGGGGCTTAGAAGAAAGGCCCTGCCACTTCCAGGGCCCACTGAGCGCTGGCACGAGCAGGTTTTCGCGCACCCCCGCGCGCCAGCAGACGACGACGACGACGACGACGACGACGACGACGACGACGACGACGACGACGACGACGACGACGACGACGACGCGACGGCGACGACGACGACGACGACGACGACGGCGACGACGACGGCGACGACGACGAGGACGAGGTCAGCTCGCGCCCCAGCACGGACGACCCCACCTGCGCTCCCCCCGCCCCGTGGCCGCGCGCCTCGCGGGCTTTGCTGCCGCGCGCCTCGCGCCTCACGAGGGGGGGGGGCCTCCGGGACGCAGCCGCACGTGTCGACGGAGAGGGAGTGGCCCTCGTTGACCCACCATGGGGTCCAGCGAAACGGGGGTGACGCAATTGAGGATTTGGTGCAATAGATTTGAGGGGTTGCAACTGATTTGGGGTGTGCGGTACATTCCCGTGCGCAAGTGTATTGCTGGATTTTCGCATGCAACGCATTAGTTGTAACACAATTCAACACAATTCTCTGGCGAATGCATTTGCAATACAATTGCTCCAAATCTAGTGCACCGCCCCCAATCAGCTGGACCCCCTTTTTGGGTCGCGAGGAGCTGCGCAAGCAGAAGCTGTCGGAGGGCCGCGCGGACATCCGATAGTGTACGCCTGAGCTTCGGAGTCTTGGCTTAGCATGTCGCTCCGCCGGTTTGGGCTCACAACGCTTTGTGGCGCGACACCCTATTCGGGGGCAACGATAGGGGGGGATAGGCATAGGGGGGGATGCATCGACCCCCAATCGTCCATTGATCGCCGATAGGGGTCTGATAGCCCCAACCCGCCCAGGAAGGTGCGGATTCACTATCGGGGGCCTATCGCCGATCTCTCGGCGATGTATTGCCGATTCCAGGTCGACGCATCCCCCCCTTGTGCCAGTCCCCCCCCCTGTCGTTGCCCCCCATCTGCACGTCCCAGCTCCCGGCCGTCAGCGTCCCGAGCCTTCCCGGCCTCCCGCCCCGCGGAGTGGAGCGACACGCTGCCCGCGCGCAGGGCACAGCGTAGATACTTAGAATTTGTCCGCAATTCAGGAGGGGAAATATCACACGGACACCATTAGTCGCCGATTCCCCAGAACATATGGGAAAATGTGGGAGGTGGGGGGGGAGACAAAAACCCAGAAACTATGGGAAAATAGGGGGAAGGAGTCCTCTTACTTGTGTCTATGTATTTGTTTGTCCCAAGGCCCCTTCAGGCATGCCCAATGTGGTACCCGCCTTCACCACGGCACATCCTTCGTTACCGTCGTGCCCCTCAGGAGGTGTGAAATCCAGCCCCAAGTGAACGCAATCGCATCCTGCGTGAGCCTCTCATGTGGTACACCCTTCACGCAAGTCGTTCAAGATCGATTCTGCCTTGTAGCTTTTGCGTCTCCAAAGGAATTAGGTTCCGCCGTGTGCAATCCTCCATCTGCCTCGCACTTGATTCCTCAGTCGTCGTTCCTTTGTTCCTTGTTCCATCATTTCCTTCCTCCTCTCCGCCCTCTTCCACTGCAGGGCGCCCTGCGCTGTCCAATCGCAAAGGCTAGTTTCCTGTAGTAGATGTACAGTGTTGGCTCTGGTCATCTCTCATTGGCACCCGCAACGACGGCGCAGTTCTGACACACCCGCCAGGCATCTGCAGGTCGAGTGCTTCTGTGGAGCTTAGCTTTCCTGGTACGCCCGCTTTGAAACACAACGCGTGCCGTGTTCAAAACGTCAGTGTTAACACGCTGCGTGTTGGCTCGGCACGTGTTTGCCCACGTTCTGGCGAACGTACTGCACCAGACCCACGTTTTCAGTCTAAGGGTTGAGCTAAGCTCTGGAGAATTCCTTCGGCCCCCCGCCCCTCGCAAGAGTGTTCCTCTGGAGCGTTCCACCCGCGACGACGAGCAGTTCTGACGAGTGCCACTGGAGTGTTCCTTCGGCTCCTCACCCCCCTCCTTCCCCTCTTGCCATTCGCCTGAGGAGCTTGGTGCTGACAGGCCAGCAGTGCAGACGCGAACTGGGGCAGATCACGGATCAAGTTCAAGTCCTGGAGACGCAGACAGCGGTGGCCAACCTATCACAATTTCATGTTCTATTCAATTGCTTGCGGCAAGCCCCGCTTCAGCGCCATTGCACCATCGATATGTTTTGAAGATAAGTGCATCGTGTGTCATCCCAACCGTTCTCTTCGCTACCGTAGTGTTACCATCGTTTTACGGGACTTCTCTGGGCCCCCAGATCCCAGGACGTTCTGGAACGATGTTGTACGCGAGTCCCCAAGAGAGAACACGTATCACAAGTATCGGGGCCGTTTGAGAGGTTTTCGGGGCCGTCCTGGCCCTCTATTGAGCCGTCAGTGGGGTGTCTTGTGTTGATCATGAGCGTTCGTGTGGCCTGGCGGTGTTTGGACGGGTCTTGGACCGTGTTGCGGCTGCATCTGGTCTGAATGCGTCCTCAGAACCAGTGAAACTCGTGCAATGTGCTGTAACACATGTGCGCGCCGCTAAGGCGAGAGCCACATTTGGAAAAGAACCGCCGTCAATCCGTGAACGTGTTGCAGAAGAACGCGCGCGGCGCAAAGGCGAGAGCAACATTTTCAAAAGGAGCCTCCCTCAGTCCGTGAGTCGCTTGCAATACAAAAAAACGAATGCGCGCGGCGCTAAGGCGTGAGAAACATTCTGACAGCGACATGTCCTCAATCCGTGAAGCTCTTGCACATGTTCGAAACACATGTGCGCGGCGGTAAAGCGACAGTCACATTTTGAACACAACCCACGCTCAATCCGTGAAGCTCTGCAAGTGTTTGAATGCACGCTGCGCTGAAGCGAGAGCCACATTTCATTTTGAAATCGGCCCACCCCCCACCCCGCCCGCCTTTTCGACCGGCCTCGGGGTGCGACAGAGAGGAGTTGCTCGTAAGGAGTAGGAATGGAGGAGGAGGAGGAGGAGGAAGAGGAGGAGGAGGTTAGATTAGATTAGAGCAGCCCCAGGGGGAAGAGACTCGCAAGTCTTACTCGGCGGGGTGCCCCTCAGAGGGGACATTTGTTACCCAGGGGCGGAGCTCCCGACACTCCGCCCTGGGCCGCGACAGGGCACCCCACCGAACTGAAACACTGAAATCACGATTCATCATTCTTCGCCTCTCGAGCGGCGATGCGGGCCTTCAGCGCCGACATTCGGCGCTCATACTCTGGAACCCCATCACCCTCCGCCTGAAACACTGTCGGGACCGTCGTGCGGGTCCGCACTCTCGGGCCCGTCGACGGAGGGGGGAGGTGGTGAGCACGGGCAGCACGATCTATAAACTGGCGTGCACGGTTGCTCGGCCCAAGACCTTGGGCATACTTAGACAGGACCTCGGCTCCTTTGCGGGAAGGGCGCTTACACTCGTCCGCGAGCTTGCGGGCACACCGCTGAGACCAACACCCGCACTTCAGACACAGAAACTGCAACGTGGGCCTGCAGGTCCGTGGCCTGGGGGGGCTCATGGGGTGGATCTCATGGGACGCCACACCAACTATCAGGTGCCCCAGGGAACGGCGGACGACACTACGAACGAAAAACGGGGCCCCAGGACACCCCGTCACCTCGGCACTAGGGACCTGCGGGGCCAGCGAAAAACAGTGCTTACACTGGGAGCCTAGAGGTCCATCATCCTGCCACTCGTGCCAACAGGGTCCCGCCCTAACAGAGCTGTGCCTCGCAAACGGGCGGTCACGGCGCTGACGGCGGTTCCCACACACGGGGAGAATGGCGGCAGCCAGCTTGACAAAATTGGAGACCTGATCAATTTCACTATCGAGTCTCATGGCAGCCTCGGGACCGATGGGAGCGTGCAACAACAACGCCTGCTTGGCATTGATGTCAGCCTCCCAATTGCTTTGCGCAATCACGCGCTCGTGAGGCGGCAATGCATCGATGACTTCGTTGCTACGATGGGCCTTCACATGCTGAATCGCCTGGATGTGCTCAAATCCAGGCAACGGTCTCGCAAACGCAGGAACACCAGCAAACAATTTGTTGGGTCGGAGCTGCGCAGCTCGGGGTAGCAACGCCTGCGAGACGGCAGCCTTGCAGTCAGCGTGAATGTACACTGCTCGGTCTGCAATCTGACATGAGGAGGAGGAGGAGGAGGAGGAGGAGGAGGAGGAGGAGGAGGAGGAGGAGGAGGTGGTGGAAATGGAGGCGGAGAACAAGGAGGAGAAGGGGGCAGGGAGCAAGGAGGAGGGATTTCCGGAGCACGAGCAGCTTCAGCGTGACAGGTTGCCTGTTGGACTGGCGGCGGCCCAAGAGGAGGTCCAAGCTGGGCCGACCCCCTTCCGGGTAGGAAGCGTCTCCGAGCGTATAGGAGGGCTGAAAAGGCGAAGGGGAACTCTTTGGGCTCCGAAAGGAAAGTGACACGGGACTCCCGTGGGGCACTCTTCTTGGCAATCTTTAAAAGAAGCCCCCCCCCAGATTTTGGAGTGTTGGTTCCAATCGAATTTCTCCTCCGCACTCCTCCCTCCTCATGATCCTGTTGTTCCCTTTCCTCCTCCACGTCAACGTTTTTTTTGTATCCTGCCCCTCCTCTTTCCGATGCTTTTTTCTAGGAGGTTACGCTTCTATTTCTTGCGCGCAGGGTTTGCAAACATATTCCTGGCGCAGAGAACTTATACGTGTATTCCTGATTGGAATGGCGGAGACCCAAACAAAATAAATGAGCACCACCATAAAACAAGAAACTACCTGCGGCCGACAGGCATTCTTATCTCACGCGAAAACACACCCACACACAAACAGGATCAACTACACACCACCACAAATGACAAACCACAAACACCACTTACTCGATTGTTCCACTGCCCTATTGACCCCTTTTTCCCCAGTTACATCCTCATTCCCGACATCCCCACCCCGCTTCTCACCAGTGTAAACCCACGGCTCACCGCAGATGTTGGAATAAACGCTCCCCAGTATTCATTTCTACTGAAGGGGTCGCCCCGTTGGGAGACAGCCGTTTCAAGACCCGGAAGCGTACCAAAAAATCCACACCGTTTGACGGATTTCAGCGTCACGGATCAGCTTTACTGTTGCGTCTTGACGATCCTGAATCGTGCCAGAACAGCATGCCCGGGACTTCAACATCGCGAATCAACGTACTTGTTGTGCCCCAGCAGTCCTGAGCCGCTGGAATCCGTCAAATTCTCGCAGATGGTTAAGACGAGTGCGCGCGGCGTCAAGGCGCGAACCACATTTTGACAAGGAGCCGCCCTCAATCCGTGAAGCCCCTGCAAAGGTTTCAAGACGAGTGTGCGCGGTGTTGCGGCGAGGGCCACATTTTGAAAGCGGCCCGCCCCGAATCCGTGAAATTCTTGCAAAGTTTGAACCGAATTCGCGCGACGCTGGGGCGAGAGACACATTTTGAAGGCCACCCGCCCTCAGTCCGTGAAACGACGGCAAATGTTTAAAACGAATGTGCGTGGCGCCAAGGCGAGGGATTCATTTTGAGAACCACCCGCATTCAATCCGTGAAATTCGTGACACGTGTTCAATCCAATGTGCGCGGCGCTAGCGCGAAAACCAAATTGTGAAAGTTGCCAGCACTCCATCTGTGAATTTGTTGCCTACATTTTAGCTTCATGGTCACTAGTGGTGCGGAAGTCTCAAGCGGAGCACCCGGCCCGCCCTTTCGACCGGCCTCGGGGTGCGACAGGGAGGGTATATTTTGCAAGGGAACAGGAATGGAGGAGGAGGAGAAGGAGAAGAAGGAGGAGGACCAGTGTAAGCCCAAGACCCAACAACTATGTTGCAAGGATTCATTTTCACTCAGGGAAGTGTCCCGTTGGAAGAAAGCTGGTCGAAAATCCAGAACTGTGCTAGAAAATTATCCGTGGGACTTCAAAGTCGCGAATCATTTGTATTGTTGCGTCTTGACGATTCTGAACCGTGCCAGAACACCGTTCATGGGACTTCAACATTGCGAGTCAATGTGACTGTTGCGCCCTGACATTCCGACATCGCGCTAAAGCACCCCATCTGGGACGTCAACCATTCGAGTCCTTGAAATTGATGTAGAACCTTACGACAAGTGCGCGCGGCGCTACGGCGAAAACCGCAGTTTGAACAGGAGCTGCCCTCAATCCGTGAAGCTGTAGCAAACTTTTGAAACGAGTGTGCGCGGCGTTGCGGCGAGAGCGACATTTTGAAAACCGCCCGTTCTTCATCCGTGAAGTTGTTGCACAAGTTTGAGGCGCATGTGCGCGGCGCTAACCCGAGAGCCACATTTTGAAATCAGCCCGCCCTCCATCCGTGAAACGGTTACAATTGATCAGCTTGAGGATCGAAAGTTGCAAGAACGTCTCGTGCGAAACGCCTGGCCCACCCTTTCGACCGGCCTCGGGTTGCGACAGGACGGAGTTCTTCATGAGGCAAAGGAGTGGAGAATGATGATGATGATGATGATGATGATGATGATGATGATGATGATGAAGATGATGATGATGATGATGATGATGATGATGATGATGATGATGATGATGATGATGATGATGATGATGATGATGTGATGATGATGATGATGATGATGATGAGGAGGAGGAGGAGGAGGAGGAGGAGGAGGAGCAGGAGCAGGAGGAGGAGGAGGAGGAGGCGGGGGGGGATGAGGGAAGAAGAGGGAGGATGGAATACGAGGGGGAGGAGGAGGAGGAGGAGGAGGAAGAGGAGGAGGAGGAGGAGGAGGAGGAGGGAGGAGGAGGAGGAGGAGGAGGAGGAGGGGCCGAGGAGGAGGAGGGAAAGAAGGTCTGGGGCCGAGGCTTCTTTTTGCACGCTGGAAGAGAGCCAAAGCGTTGTGCATACAAAACCACTCGGACTCACCTCGCACGTGGCTTGATATTATCTTGATGTCTTGTTGTTGTGTCGAGCCGTGCACTTCACCAGATCCTGAAGGCATATCACGGGGAAAGAACAGGGTTGGTATAGACAGCTTTCGGCCAAACGTGCGCCGTGTTGTCTACTACTTCGAGCACTTCGAGCGAACGCGACACATTCTGTCAGCACATCATTCAGCACAACATCGTGTCATATTCTAGTCACTCGGCGTCTCTTTCATCCTTCCCCCCTCCTCCTCCTCCTCCTCCTCCTCCTCCTCCTCCTACTCCTCCTCCCCCTCCTCCTGCTCCTCCCCTCTCTCCTCCTCCTCCTCCTCCTGCTCCCCTCCTCGTCCTCCTCCTCCTCCTTCTCATCCTTCTCCTCCTCATTCTCGACGTCCTCACTCCTCTTCCTCCCTCAGCCGAATCCTTCCCCCCTCGCCCCGTGGGCCGCATCAGATGTTCAGTGAGTTGGTGTTTTTCCAGGTTAATTATTCCACCGCCACCCTCCACTCTCTCCCGAGGCCTTCAAGACGCCTCCATGTTGGCTCTCGCCTTAGTGCCGCGCACGTTGGTCCTGAAATTTCGCGAGGGTGTCGCGGATGGAGGGCTGGTCGTTTTCAAACACATGGTTCTCGCCGTAGGGCGTGTGCTCTCGATCCCAGGAGTCAGCAGGCGTCCAGAGTCGGGACTATTGGGCCGCGCTTGCAGCCAAAAGCTCATTCTGCAGGATGTGTTGAGGATGCCTCTCGCGCTGCCTTTGCATTGTTTGAGGAGGTATCGAGCGGGGGCCTTGACGTCGCGTTAGCACGTTTCGTTTCGGTCCAGGTTCGCCCCCGTTCGGTTCGCCCCACTTCGGAACCGAGTCGGCCCTTGACTTCGTGCCGGTTGAACGCCCCGCGTGTCTTGACTGCAACCTGCTTTCGGCGAGCCATGCGCGCAGGCGGCTCGAGCTCAAGGTCCAGACCAGGTCGGACAGGATTGGGGCGCCAAGGATAGCTAGACCCACAACGCGACAGAAACCAACGAAGCTCAACACCTCAACACAGCGCGACGCAGCACAGTGCAGCACAGCACGGATCAATCGCAGTTTACCCTTTTTATCGCGGCCTTGGTCATCTGCGAGTGGGCTTGGCACCTCGGAGTGCGGCCCCCTCGCCACGAGTCAGGATGGTGAGACGAAGCGTGGTTGGCCCTTCCCCGTCTGTGTTTTGAGTAGGGTCAGTTCGGCGTTCGTCTCGGTTCGCGTGGTTTGGGTTCGTTTGTGTGCAGTTTGTTGCGTCCTGTTTCGCTGCGCTTCGGTCCGTCCATTCTCGGTTCGTTTCACGTCGGTTCGGAGTCGCCCCCTCTTTTTCCGTCCCGTTGCAAACATTAATCGGGGTTCGAGCTAATCGAACGCCATGCGTGGCTCGACTGCAACCAGCTTGGGTCATGCGTTTAGGTGGCTCGAGCGTAAGATCCAGATCAGTTCGGTCAGGATTCTGACGCCAAGGACGACCTGATCCACACTGTAATAGAGAACAGCACAGTTCAAGGAGGCATGGCACATCTCAATTTATCACAGTACAGGTCCGGCACGGTTCGTCACCACCGTTGCCTTCAGCACTGCAATTGCCCGTCGCCCAAATTGAATGCCTTAGAACTCGGTCCATGTTTTCATCTATATATACATACATAGATGTACAGATATGTACATATAGAGATATGTCCCTTTCCTGGCTCGTGGGTCGATCTTGTTGAGGAGGATCCGCCGCCCGCGTACGTGTTGGAAGTGCTTAAGACGAATGTGCGGGCGCTCAGGCGAGAGCCGCATTTTGAAAACGATCCCCCATCCATCCTTGCAACTGGGGGGAACTTGTAAGATGAACGTGCGCCTCGGCGCCAAGGCGGGAAGCACATGTTGTGATCTACCACTCCATCCGTTTCACTTGTGGGAATTCGATGGAATCCCAGGTGTCAGGAGCATAAGCGGCGAGGGAGTCTCACGTGAAACGCCTGGCCCGTCATACCGACACGCTTGTTAGTCAGACAAGGAGGAGTTAACTGCACGGAAGAGGGATGGACAGAAAAGAAAGATGAGGGATGTGTGTCCCCGACCCCAGGGCCCTTACCCCGGTCATTGGTTTTAAGCGGACTCACGGATCGCGCAAGAGTTGGAATCCAAATATTCGGCGGGAGGCATTGGTACAGCCGGAGAGCCCATCGGTATTCTTACACGACCCATCTTGCCAGGGTGCATCGTGGCGGATCCAGTATGAGTTCATCAAGCAGAACGTGTCGACGGTATATTTGAATTTTGGGAGCTACCTGGCGGCGAAGCAGCGTTACATCCTGCTCGCCGCTAACATGGTGAGCAACACCGCCCAGGACTTCACACCGCAGGAGTTCTGGACCAATCGAAGGGTGATAGCAGACAAGATGCTGACCAAGATTAAGAAGGTGCTGCTGGATGACGGCAGCGTCAACGTCACTAGGTTCGAGATGCTCAAAATTGATTTCGCGAGCCAGTTCGAGGACGCAATCACCCAGGTCCAGGTGGCGGAGCAGCAGAAGGTCGTAAACGAGTACGATCAGAAGGTCCAGACGGTCCAGCAGCGTATCGACGTCCTCCAGGCAGAGAACCAGGCGCACATCACGGCCATCTCCTCGAACGCAGAGGGGGTCGCGCGCCAGCAGGTGGCGGTGCACCAAAAGGCACCCACCGAAAAGGTTCGGAGGCCCAGCGCCGACCCCAAGAAGTCCGCGCGGTCCTCCGGAAGTGTGCGCTAATGCTGCTTTTATGTTTCCTCCGGAGGTCGCGAATGCCACCCGCGACGGTTTCAACATGAGGCAGGGCATGAAGGCGACGAAGTACGCTCAGCTGCAGCGAGCGCTCGGCTTCGACGAGGCCCAGATGTCGGAGTACTTCAAGATCAAGTCCATCCAAGGGCAGGAGCTGTCCTCCCTCTTCCTCTCCCTCCCCCTGCTCTCCTCTCTCCTGCCTCCGCCTTCGGGAATGCCCAGAAGAGCCAGAGAGTCTCTGCATTGGCGCGATGCCCAGAGGGCGATCGATGCGGCGCTCATTGCCAACAGCATCAGCAGTAGTGTTAGCAAGGGTGTGGACGCCGGCGTTGGGGAGGAGGATGGGGAGGCTGAGGTCGAGGCGGCGCAGGCAAGGCCCAGTGCGAGGAGCGCCCAGGAGGAGGAGGGCGAGGAGGAGGGCGAGCAGGAGCGGGTAGAGGCCGAGGAGGCGGCGGAGAAGGCGGCGGCGCCGCCAATGCGAGGCGAGCAGGAGGTGAGTGAGCGGCCCAGCGCGCGCAGGCGCCGCACGGCGCGCGCAGGCGCCGCCCGCTTGCCGCGGGGGTCCCCTCGGGCTAGGGACCCCTCGGGCCGTGGAGCGGAGGAAGGCCGAGCCGCTGTGGTAACGGCCTGGCCCTGGCGGGAGCAGCAGCGGCAGCATCCTGGACGGGCACCCTGCGCGCGCACGCGATCGAGCGCCCTCGCGAGTCGCGGGGCCCCAGGGCTCGAGGGAGCGCCGCGCGCGCGCGCGCTCTCGAGAACCAGCAAGCGTGTGCGCGGAGGGGGGCTCCAGCGCCTGCACGAGGTGCGCGCACCTCCGAAGGGTCGTGATCTGTTCCTACCCGTTTGACTTCAACGAGAGAGAGGGGCAGCGAGAGAGAGGAAGGAGAGAGAGGATTCGTGAGGCCACCGCTGCCTCCGCCTCCCGCCCCCCCTCCCGAGGAGAGCAAGAGCGGGAAGATCATCGTGGGCGTCCCGTCAGTGGTCGGGGCGGGAAGAGCCCCATCGCGGGTTGAGCTCTGAGCGGGCGCCACCTGGGCGTGGGACGCTGTCCACCCCCTCCTCCTCCTCCTCGTTTTCCTCCTCTCGAGAGGGAGGAGGAGGTGGCAAGACGGAGAACAATGAAGTTCGAGGATCGAGTTTGTTGGGCGTGTTCGGCCCTTGTCGGGCCTCGTTGGGCGCGCTTGTCGCCACCGCTGGATCCACCTCGCAGTGTTGGTTAGAACGCGCCTCGGAACAGGACGTGGAGAAGGTGGAGAAGAGGGGAGGTGGGGAAGAGGGAGGAGCAGAAGGAGGGAGGAAAATTGAGGAGCAGATGGAGGAGCAGACGAGAGGAAGTGGGTGATTTAGGGCGGCTCAGGGGGGCATATGGCTTCGGAGCAGATCGTAGAGCTCCTCCTTCTCCTCCTCGTCAACTTCCATCTTCCATCCTTTGCTCCTCTTCCTCCTGACTTTTCCCACATGCCCTCCACTTCGTCCGTCTCCTTTATCTCTCCTCCCTCTTTCCTGCATCCCCCCTCCTTCTTCCCTCCCTCCTTCCTTTTTCCTCCCTCCTCGCTTCTCTTTCCTTCCCCCTGCCTCAGCCATCCTTTGGAAAGAAAGCTCCCGAGGCCCTGCTCGCAGTCCCAGCCTGCCTCGGGCCTCGAGCATTGCTCCTCCTCCTTCTCTTCCTCCTCCTCCTCCTCATCATCCTCCTCCTCCTCATCATCATCATGATCATCATCATCATCATCATCATCATCATCATCATCATCATCATCATCACCATCATCATCATCATCATCATAATAATAATCATCATCATCCTGCTCCTCTTGCGCCTCCTGGCCCTCCTCCATCTTGTCTCTGCTTGCGAACGGGCTGCGCTGTTGGAAAGACTTGTCTCTTCGTCTGGCCGATGTTGCCCATTCCAGCCGCTGCTCGACAGTAATGCAGAGGCGCTGGCGAGCCTGGTGCCGCCGCGGCACCGTTCTCGCCGAGCTGATTGGTCTTCCCGATCGTATTGTAGCCGATGTCACAGACGTTCGCACGGCCGCGCTAAAAGAGTCCCCCGAGAGGAACCGGCAGGGGGAGGCGGGCACGGCCGCCAGAGCGGCACACCGGCCAAGACGACGGGCGGCGACGAGGCGGCGACGGCGCGGAGATGGCGGCCACATGGCCGCCAGAGCGGCACACCAGCCCAATTCGTCAGAAAACAACCAATGATCCATAAGGGTAATTAATCACTGCTGGGATAAAGACCCACACAGCAACGAACAAGAACTAAGCCAAATGAATCAGGTTGGCAGCTTCGGGCCTTCCCAGGGAACCTAGTTCTCTTGGGCCGTCTTTGAGGCCTCTTTTTCTTTGTTGTGTTTTGGGTTATCTTGAGGTCAGCTTGGGCCATCTTGGTGGCTTCTTGGGGCAATCTTGTCCGTCTTGGAGGCCAGCTTGGCCGTCTTGGAGGCCATCTTGGCTGTCTTGGGGGCCATTTGGGCAACGGGTGATTTTTGTTCCCCGCATTTTCCGGTTGGCCAGCGGATTGGGCCGAGACCCCACCAGGAGAACCAAGAACCACCCAGACGTCCAGCACGCCAGGCATCTTTGCGACAAATCAACAGGGGGCGGCGGATCGAGACGCCTGCGGCGAATCACCTCCCATGCCTCTTGGAAACGCCCATGCGGCCAAACATTGAGCCGAAGTCAGGCCAAGATATTGGACTATGTGTTCCCCCAGCCGTTGTGGAACCTCTTGGAGAAACATTGGGGAGAGGACGAGAAAGGAGGAGGAGGAGGAGGTGGAAGAGGAGGCGGAGGAGAGGAACAAGATGCCTCCTGAGGCCCTCTAGGGGCTCTTGGGTACTTTCTGGGAGCCTTTGTGGAGAATCTAAAGTTGTTTGGGGGGCTTCCTTGGGCCTCTAGGGGGTGTTTAGGGACCTCTTAGGGACCTCTTGGGACCTCTTGGGGACCTCTTGGGACCTCTTTTGGGGCCTTCTCGCTTTCGGAGGCCGCCTTGGGCCCTTCCTGGGCAGTCGTTGGTCCCTCTCTGGGCGTTTTGAGGCCGTGATGAAGGTCTCTGGGCCCCTCTTGGGTGCGTCTTGGGTGCCGCTTCGGCTGCCTTGGGGCCCTCTTAGGCCGGCTTGCAGGCCTGTCTATTGGGGGCCTCCTGGGGCTTTCTTTTGGGCATATGAGCCAGTCTTGAAGCGTCGGGAGACCGAAAAAGCGAGAAAGTTCAAATCATTGACAAACCTGAAGACAATCAATGATCCTGGCTTCTTGGAAGTCTCTTGGAGCCCACTTGGGGCGTCTTAGGGGCTTCTTGGGCAGCCTGGAGGACATATTGAGCCGTCTTGGGGCCATCTTGGCCGTCTTGGAGGCGTCTTTGGACCGTCTTGGAGGACATCTTGGGTCATTTTGGCCGTCTTGGAAGGGGGCATCTTCAAGGCCGTCTTGGGCCATCTTGGCCGTCTTGGACGCGATTCGGCTCGTTAATGGAGTTGGGTGTTCGGCGGCCTTTCGGGTGGCCGGCGGGCTGGGCCGAAGGAGTTCTTCAGCAGAGAACCACAAACCATCCAGACGTCCAGCACACCAGGCACCCTTGTGGCAAGACCACAGGGGGCGGCAGTTCGAAGACGCCTACGGCGAATTACCGCCGCCTCATGCCTTTTGGAAACGCCCATGTGGCCGAACGTTGCGGCCAGAGCTCGGCCAAGCTGTCGGACACTGTGTTCCCCCAGCAGTTGTGGAAACTCTTCGGGGAACACGTGGGGAGAGAGAAAAGGAGGAGGATGAGGAGGAGGAGGAGGAGGAGCTGAAGGACAACATATGTGGATAAGGAGGAGGAGGAGCAGGCCTCTTGGGGCATTCTTCGGGCCTCCTGGGAGCTTCCTAGTGATCCTTGGCGGCCTCTTGGGGGCCTCCTTGGGCCTCTTGGAGGCCTTTTGGGGCTTCTTGGGGGCCTCTTTGGTCGACGTAGGGCGTTCCTGGCCCGTCTGACGCCGTCGGAAGCAGTCTGGGGGGGGCCTGTCTGAACCGTCTTGGGACCCTCTTGGGATGCTTCAGGCCGTCTTGGAGGCCATCTTGGCGTCTTGGAGGCCTCTTGGGGCGTCTTGGGGCCTTCCTGGGGCCGTCGTGGGGCCATCTTGGAGGCCTCTCGGGCGATCTTGGGGCGATCTTAGGGGCCTCTTGGGCCGTCTTGAGCAATCGGACGGCCGAAAAGAAGCAAATGCTAAAATCCTTCAACCACGTACGGGCATTCACAGATTTGGCCTTTTCGGGCTTTCCTGGCGGTCCTCCTGGAAGCCTCTGGGGCTGTCTTGGAGGCCTCTTGGGGGCCTCTTGGGCTGTCGTGGGCCCTCTCGGAGCCATCTTGGGCTGTCTTGGTGGCTTCTTTGTGAGAATTTGGAGGCATATTGAACCCTGTTGGGCCGTGTTGGAGGCCATCTTGGACGAACCGTGAGGCCAACATGGACCAGGATGGCCGTCTTGGAGACCATATAAACCGTCTTGGACACGCTTGTTCCCCAAATGTTTAGTTGGGTTATGGTGGTCTGCTCTCCTGCGCCCCACCCGCGTCCCCGTCACACACACACAAACACACTCACCTCCCTCCCTCCTCCCTCCTCGCCTCTTCTTCCTCTCTCACCTCACCCACGCGCAACGCATGCACGGCACGTACATGAGACACGCGTCTACATGCAGCCGCACGCATGCACACACTCGCACACACACACACACACACACACACACACACACTGTACAGTGCCAGTGTGTGCCTGGCGTGCCTACTGTATCATACATCCAGACGTATGCGCCACATACAGGGTATCGGAATGATACGCACGCCCACATACAGCTGTACACGCATCATACATCACCCACGTTGAGACACGCGTCCACCTACAGCCGCACACACATCATACACCTGCACAAGGCACACAAGAAACAAGACACGCATGCAGTCACACGGGCACGCACACACGCACACACACACATACACACACACACTCACACACTCACACACACAACACACACACAACACAACACACAACACACACACACAACACACGACACACACACACACACTGCATACAACGCCAGTGCACGCCTGGCACGTTCACTGCATCATACACCCAAGACGTATGCGCACGGTCGTCCAGGCACAGCAGGCTTGGCACTTCTCGACGCCATACGGGGTGCGCAGGGAGTGGTCTCTCACCGCGGTCTCTACGCGCCCCACTCGTCCATGCACAGCGGGCGTGGCACTTTCTCGACACTGTAGGGAATGCGCAGGGGGTGGTCCCTCACCGCGGTCTCTATACGCCCCAGTCGTCGAGGCACAGCAGGCTTGGCACTTTCTCAGCGCCATAAGAAAGGCGCAGGGGGGGGTCTCCCACCGCGGCCCCCATACGCCCCACCCGTCCAGGCACAGCAGGCATGGCACTCTCTCGAAGCCATAGGGAATGCGCAGGGTGTGGTCTCTCACCGCGTTCTCTATACGCCCCAGTCGTCGAGGCACAGCAGGCGTGGCACCTTCTCAACGCCATAGGGGGTGCGCAGGGGGCGGTCTCCCACCGCGGTCTCCATACGCCCCAGTCGTCCAGGCACATCAGGCGTGGCATTCTCGACGCCATAAAGGGTGCGCAGGGTGTGGTCCCTCACCGCCGTCTCTATACGACCCGGTCGTCCAGGCACAGCAGGCGTGGCACCTTCTCGACACCATACGAGGTGCGCAAGGGGGGTCTCTCACCGCGGTCGCTATACGCCCCAGTAGTCCAGGCACAGCAGGCGTGGCACTTTCTCGACACCATAGGAGTGCTCAGGGGGTGGTTTCTCACCGCGGTCTCTGTACGCCCCAGTCGTCCATGCTCAGCACGCGTGGCACTTTCTCGAAACCATGGTGAATGCGCAGGGGGTGGTCTCTCACCGCGGTCTCTATACGCCTCAGTCGTCCATGCACAGCAGGCTTGGCACTTTCCGACAGAATAAGGGATGCGCAGGGGGTGGTCTTTCACCGCGGCGTCAGTCTCCCAATGCTTGACCGGCGTCACCAACGGTATCGGCGGTGCAACGGCCACCAGCATCGTTCTCGCATGTGTCAGTCCATCTCGCATCACTCCAGACATAATATAAGTATGTGAGGTTCCTCGGTAGCGTAGTTACGCAGCGGCGCGGTTTCCCGGATGGCCGGCGCAATGAGCCGAAATCCCAGGGGAAGTTTCAAAATAACCAAAATCCATTTGAAGTCGAGCACGCCAGGCACCATTGTGATAAATCAACCATGGGCGGCGGATAGAATGGCCTCGGGTCCATCTTGCCACCGCGCTGGGGTTGTAGGTCGGAGGCCTCTGGGATGCCTTTGGGGATCTCTTGGGCGGCCTCTCAGAAGCATTGCGGATCCGGTTTTGGAGTGTCTTGGGGGCCTCTCAGGGGTCTGGGGGCTTCTTGGGGCCTGATTTGGGCTTTCTGGGGGCCTCCGAGAGCCTGCGGGGGGCCTCTTAGGGGACCTGCTGGCGATCTTTGGGGCCATCTTGGGGCGAAGGGCTCGACATGCAGATTCGTGTTACCTCTCTGGGGCCTCCCGTAGGCCCGCTCTACTGGGCCGTCCTGGGGGCCTCTTGCGACATCTTGGGGCCATCTTGGGCCGTCTGGGGGGCGCTCTTGGGGGCCTTTCGGGGCGATATTGAAGGCATTTTCGGGTTGTCTTTGAGCGTCGAAAGCCAGAAAAAGGCGAGAACAGTAAGATCTTTCAAACACCAAATGGAAACACGAAAACAAAGTTTGGCATCTCGGGGCCTGTTTTGGGGGGCGGTTTGGAACCTTCTTCGGGTGTCTCGGGGGCTTCTTGGACAGTCTTGGAGGTATCTTGGGCGTCTTGGAGCATTGTCGGGCTGTCTTGGATGCTTCTTGGACACCTCTTGGAGCCCTGTTGGCCCGTCCGTTGGGTCCTTTGGCTTGTGGAACTGTCATGCGAGGGAGCCCAAGAAAGCGCGGGACCGCTCGAGATAATTAAGATGTTGTGTCCCTGCGCCCTGATTCTAGTACTCACACGACTGGAAGGATACAGAGTGCAGAGAACTGTACAAGCGTGAGGAACACTCTGGTTCGTGCCTCGAGGCACGGTGGCGGATAGAGAGAGAGAGAGACGGTAGTCCGTGCCGTCTCGGAGGCAGCGCTGACGCATGCGTTCAAGATCGGCGATTCTCGCCGTGGCTGGGACCCGTCGGCACGGCAGCGGGGCACCTGCCGTTTGGGCGCGCGCGCGCGCAGGCGCGCGCCGAGGCCGCCGAGCGGGAGTTGCAGCAGCTGAAGGCTGGGGCGGTGGCGCCGTCGCCCGCGGAGCCGCCTCGGCAGGCCCTGCCCGCCCCCCGCGCGCACACTGCGGCGGCCGAGGCTCGAGGATCGAGGAGGAAGAGGAGGGGGAGGAGGAGGAGGAGGAGGAGGAGGAGGAGGAGGAGGAGGAGGAGGAGGAAAAGGAGGAGGAGGAGGAGGAGGAGGAGGAGGAGGGAGGAGGAGGAGGAGGGAGGAGGAGGAGGAGGAGTAATAGAGGACGGGGAGGAGGGAGGATGAGGGAGGAGGGAGGATGAGGGAGGAGGGAGGAAGGAGGAGGAGGTGATCCTCCTTCCTTTTTCGTTGTCCACACTCAGCTTGCAGCACGTGGAGTGGGGAGACCAACCATGAAACCAGAACCTTCTCACCCTTCTTCCACTTCCTTCCTCCAGCCCTTTCCTTACAAGTGACCCCAGCAACCACCTTAACAGCAGGATTCTGAAAGACTCATGGGAAACGCCTGGGTCTGGAGCAGATGATGGGAGACATCCACATCGAAAGAGCATTGGCCGCCTTGCAATGCCGCTTCGTAGCAGCATCATGCAATGGGTGGGTCCAGCGAGGATGTTCCACACGTTGCCGCCCGTGGCCGCCTCGTGGCTGCCTGGTGCGCCAGGTTGGTCCGGCGAGGTTTCGCCACGTTTCCGCCAATGGCCGCCCCGTGGCCTCTTGGGTCGTCCAAGGGCATTTGGGGGCCATCTTGGGTCTTGGGCTCTCTTGGGGCCATCTTGACGTCTTGGAGGCCATCTTGGGTCCATATTGGGCGCGCTGGAGGTGGAGGAAGGGACCTGCCCCCGTTGAAGAGACAGCGACCCGTGTTCCTTCCTCCTGGCCCCCCTCCCTCCTCCCCCTCATTGCCTCTGCCCTCCGCGCCAGTCAACCATGTAGGCACACCCCTCCCTCACACGTCTCGTTGCCCCATGGGAAGCCCCACCGAAGGCCCAAGAGGCAGCCAGCGCCCGCGTGCGCCCACCGCACCCATTTCGGCACACCCACACGTTTCTTGGCCACCATAGAGGGCCCACCACAGGCACAAAAGGCAGCGCCCGCATGCGCCCGCCGCACCCATTTCGGCACACCCCTCACGCGTTTCGTGGCCCCATAGGGAGGGAGCCCCACAGAAGGCCCAAAAGGCTACGCCCGCATGCGCCCGCCGTATCCATTCAGGCAACGCCCGCATGCGCCCGCCGCACCCATTTCAGCACACCCCTCGCACGTTTCTTGGCCACCATACGGAACCCCACCGAGGACCCAAAAGGCAGCGTTTGCACGTGCCCGCCGCATCAATTTCGGCACACCCCTCAGACGCTTCGTGGCCCCATGGGGAGCTCCACCGAAGGCCCCAGGTGGCTACTCCCGCATGCGCCCGCCGCACCCACTTCGGCACACACTTCACACGTAATTCACACGTTTCGGGTGCCCCCATGGGGAGCTCCATCGAAGGCCTTAGACGGAGCTTCACCGCACGCACCAGTGGCAGCTCACGCGTGCAGCCGCTATCCCACAGTTTGGCGTTCCTGCATGCGCGCCCTCACGACGGGACTCCTCGTAGACGCGCACACTTTCCACTTGCAACTTGCCCTTGCACGCTTCGTGGCCCCATAAGTCGCTCCACCGAAGACGATACGCACGACTGCGGCATCCACACCTGCATGCGGTTGGTTTCTTCGCCAGGCTGCACGTTTTGGGCGGCCAGCGGTATGTGCTGGAGGCCGTCACAAGCTCTGCACGCCAGCAACCACTCTTGCAGGCGACAGGGGGCGGTGGAGTCAGTGGCCTTCGGCCGATCCTGCTGCCGTGCCCGGATTGTGGGTCAGAGGCCTACGGGACGCCCCTTAGTTCGGGTCTCTTGGGATGTCTATCGGGGTCCGCTTGAAGGGCTCTTGGGGGCCTCTTGGGGGCTTCTCGGGCTCTCTTGAGAGTCTCTCGGGGGCCTCTGTGGGGTTTCTTGGGCGTCTCGTCGGGTTTCCTGTGAGCGTCACGGGGGCCTCTGGGGGTTTGGGGGGGGCATGTTCGGGGTGTTGGGTATCATGTTGGGGGGAAGCGGCTCCCTGGGCTCCTTCATGGTACCACCACCTTCCAGGGCTGATAACGTGTTGAAAAACATGTAGTTTTGTTGTTTAGATCGGGAAATATCACGGTGAACACAGAAATCACGCGGGACGACCCAGGAGATCCGTGATTTGGGGGACTGGTTCGCCGTGAAGAGTATTAGTACGCAACACAAAGAACCAGGGACCTCAGGAACCAGGGACTCCATGCAGTGACTCGTGGCACCGCGGCGGGTAACCCTGGGCAACCTCCAGGAGGCCAAAAAGTGCAGCTGTGGAGACCTCCCCTCTTCATGTTGGCTTCACGTGGGGCTGGCACGGATGTTGACCCTTCCCCCCGTTCTCAGGGACGCACAGACTTGGCGGGTCCAGCAGTTGCTTGAACTCGGCCAAAATTTGTTCGGTCAAGCTGCTCTTAGCTATAGACGGGGCCGTGCTTCCCACACCCCCAATACATCTTCCGGAGGCTGCCCCAAACCCTTGAGGGTCCCCAGAGCCCCCTGATCATCCTTACGCTGGAGTGGTGGGGGGGGGATTCCTGCCTGCATCAAGGACTCCCCGCTGTGCCAGGTCCGCAGCAGCACGAGGAGGGGAAGAGCGAGGAGGGGCGAGGGAGGAGTGAGAAAGGACTGGCTAGGAGCGAGGAGGGAGAAGAAAGGAGGGGGAGGCCGTTGGCCTTCACAGGTCGGTACGACATTGTGGGGTCTAGAGCTTTTGCGCACTGCGGACTGGCGGGCCCACTTCGATTTGCACGACGGAAGGTTCGATAGCAGCCACCGTGCGCACGAACAGCCAGGCGGCCACAGACGCATGCATGGCGTACGGCTGCCAGATGGTTGAAGCACCTACAACGTGAACGACGGCGATTGCGCGGTGATGTCGCACGTCATCCATGGCCACACCCAGGATGCAGCGCGGTCATGCTTCAAACACTGCACGAGGTGCTGTTGTTCTTGGCCAGTGTGCTGCGCAGCGGGGCGGTGCGACGACGTCTTCCGTCTAAGTCGGTGTTCCTATTTCGTGTGGGCTTGGGTGTGCTTGTGACGCCTACGTTCGGGCCGATGCTCGAGGCGACGCTGACGGAGGCTGACAAGCACGCGGGGGGACCAGACGGCGGCACGACAGGTTTGGACAATTTTGGCCAAGCAGGCCTTCTTCCGTGGAGCGCCCGTTGCCCACAGGGCATCCAACGTGCAGCCATTCGGCCAGGTTGTTCCACGGATCAAACTGAGGGGTGGAGGGCAGGCATGCACGCTTGTCAACAAGGACATGCAATGATGGCGGCGGATCTAGATGTTGCGTGAATGCGTTGAGTTGCGGCTCTCACCTGGATCGCACGACCGGCCTGAGCTCCTCCCATTACGGCGTCTGACATTCGCGCAGTCATTCTGAGTTTTCCAAGCGAGGCTTCCAAGGGACCTGCTGACCTCCAAGGGACCTGCTGACCTCCAAGGGGGTGTTGCTGAATGTGAAGCACATGCAGATGTTCGAAAGCAGCTGGGGGATTTCTACCATGTGGCGCCAAGTTGGTGGACCAGTCAGCCTCGTGTTACCAGCGCGAGTGGTTGGATCACGTACTCAGCCTGCAGGAGTGCCTCAAGACGTTCAGAGTTGATGGTGGTGCAGGTCCGTTTGGGTAAGCACCATGTCTCTTCCAACGCCGCTCTCGTGGCCACCAAGCGACCAACAAAGTGACATCAGAAGCCGCCTGGGCTTGTCCCCATAAGCACTGGACGAAACATTAGTCTTTCAGAGCCGGGCGTGTTCTCATAATCATCGGGCGTGTTCTCATAAACACTGGGCGACAATCGTACACCCAAGCAGAAGCCGTCTGGTTGGTGCGCCTCGGGCATTCAACACTCGAGTCAGCTTGTTCTCCTAAGCAGTGGCGAATCTCACTCTTCCAGCGTCGCCCGACTTGTCTGATGCTCAACACTGTGAGACCAGAAGTCGTCTTTCACTTTGCTGGAGTACCCTTCTTATTCTTCTGCTGGTGACTTGATGTGAAAAAAAGTGGTTGGAATACTACCCTGTGCCCTGTGCTCTTCACTTTTCATCACGACTTTGATGTACTCTTGCGTCCTGATTCTGGTGAGATTCTGATGCTTTGGAGTCTGGTCTGAATGATTATTGTGAGTTTAGATGTTTATCCAGGTTCATAAACCCCCGATCGGTTGCTCCTGAAGTACACCAACCTCCCTGACATTCACCCGAGGTTGCTGCGGCATCTGCTGGGCGAGGTATGGCTAGCTACGACCGATTGTTCATCGACGAGAACGCCGTCTCGAATGGCCCATGGAGCGGTGATGGGCCATGCTGCGAGGAATATCGAAGCCTGAATCAGGGCATCGCCTTATCGAGTTCACGCGCACTTTCGTCCGCCTGTTCTGGCGGTTTCGACCCCCGACGTCTGCCGTGTGTTCAGGGCCCCCCCGCTGCGAGGGTAGCCAAATCCGATGCACATCTAGCGTCGGCGCCTTCTCCCATCACTTGGAGGCGGAGATCGCGTCGTTGAAAGGGCACTTCGTGGACGCGGCCCTCCTAGATCTCACGAAGGCCCTCGACCTGGTGGGGCCGTGTCAGCTATTCGAGGAGGGGATGCACTGGGGTCATTCGCCAAGAATGTTGTTGGTCCTCATACGGCAGCACATCAGGCCGCGTCCGATGCCGTTTAGACGGGCCCGGGGCTGCGGGCGGGCTGCGCTCATGCGCGTTGCGCGCTGGGGTTACTCGCTTTGAGCTTCGACGCGCATCAAGGGGGCGCCCGTCCAGTTGCACCCGAGGGCCTTGGTGGATAACGTGCCCTTCCAGTCTGCAGGTCCACACACTGGCGGGCTACGAGATCTCGGCTCAGAGGTTTTTTTTCCCCGGGGCGACTCCTACATCCTCGGATCTTGATGCAAGCTTGGGCAGTCGGGAGCTTCGGCGGTAACGGCTCCGATGCGCAAGATGCTCAAGCGCCTGAGGGGTCGG